CCAGCAGACATGGCAGAATCCCCGTGCTCTGAGATGGTCATAAATCGTGCAGTACTTACACGGAACACTTGACCGCAATAGACTGCGGATCACGTTTCATCATTTTATTCCTACCAGGACAATGCGCACGCTTTGTTGTAGTTGGCAAACTTGCTAAATACCTCTGGGAATTGAACAATATGAAATATCGCATTTTTTGGTGGTGTCAGGCAATAAATTAATTTATTAAGAGAAACTATCAGCCATCGGTATTGGAAGATTTGCTGCAGTATACATGTTAGAATGTTATGAGCATCGATCTTATTTATATACAATAGTTATTCTCCTCACATAAGCCCGTGACACAGTATAGAAATAATTGTCATTAGCTGGTAAATTACCTATAAAGCTGATTTCTATTCACTGCTTTATTAACTACAGTATATGGGCACTCTGAATTGCTAATATTTCCTTTAAATTATAATCTGTGATGACACTGTGGTGCCTGTGTTGGAAAAGCTATGATGATAATCATTAACATAGTGTAATGCAATACTTAAGATTTATCAGGCTCTTATTAAGCCCTATATTACAGTATAATATAATGAAACACAAGCTTATTTCTTCCAATTCAAAATCTAATATGAGGCTGGTGTCATAAATTACATAAACTTCAAAACAATGCATGGAAATGTGGCATAAAGTTAATTTCTATCATTATGCTGTTGTTTTTCTGCACGTTCTTCACGTAGTGGTACAACACCGTTTTTTGTTTACCCTAGATAATTGGTACTTAGAATTATTTTATTAGCATACAACTGTATTTTCCCTTTCTTGACTAAGAAGCAGAAAGATTTCAAACATCAAAGTTGATATAAATTGGATACATCCCATGGGAAATTAAAAGGGGATACAGTTCACTGCCAGGATTCTTCCAGAAATACTACAAAATTTGCTTGCTGTATCACCTTACAGGACTAAATTAATGGTGCGCTTTGGCGGTTGGAGTGGTAAAGGTAGGAACATTATTTTCCAGCTACAACATATCTTTCGGCTCGAAGAGGTCAACATAATGTACAAAGCAAATGCGTAATCTAAACACAAATTGAATTTTGTATTCTCATTTTTTAGATGGGAAAACAGCACAAAAGACAGAAAAGAGCACAGTGTAGAAAGTTAGCAATCGAACAAGTCTCTTATTAGATTTTTGTAACTGTCCCTAATGTCATGTCTATCTTATCATAGATAGGCAGCTCCCCTCTCCCCCTTAAAGGAATTGTTCCATTCCCATATCTCAGATTTCACCACTGGCTCTCTTTATCTTAGTCATTGTCCTCTCTAGATCTCCTTAAAAGTTAGATTAGTGGTTTTAAACAGACATAGATTTGAATCTTACTTCTACCAATCGCTAGCCTTGTGAATCTTGGGGAATATCTCAATTTATTAGCTATAAAATGGGGACAAAGATAGTATTTTCTCTGTAGGGTAGTTGGGATGACAAGTGTTATATGTGAACAGGAAGCATACACATGGCACATAATAACTGCTCAAAAATGGTTAAGGGCACCTGGCTGGGCGCAGAGCATGTGACTCTTGATCCAGGGGTTGTGAGTTCAACCCCACTTTGAGCATGGAGCCTACGTTAAAAAATGGTAACTATTGTTGCTGCTAATGCATTAAGTTCTACTAGAAAGAACTATAAATTAATCATGAACACTGAGTGGGAATTAGTATATCCGTCTGGAAATGTAAAATGTCCATAAAAGAGAATAGGTGAATAACAAAGAAGCCTGAAGGCTCCAGAGTATCATCTTTGCTACAGTTTTGCACCGAATAGACTCTCAGTTTTACTTTTAAAGCTCTTCATACAGGGTGCCTGGGTGGCTCAGTGGGTTAAAGCCTCTGCCTTCTGCTCAGGTCATGATCCCAGGGTCCTGGGATCGAGCCCTGCGTCGGGCTCTCTGCTCCGCGGGGAGCCTGCTTCCTCCTCTCTCTCTGCCTGCCTCTCTGCCTACTTGTGATCTCTGCCTGTCAAATAAGTGAATAAAATCTTAAAAAAAAAAAAAAAAAGCTCTTCATACATAATCGTAGAGTATACATATCAGACAGTGGTTCTCTAGCCCATATAAACGCTTGATCTCCAATTTCGTCTTCCTTCTCCTCCCTTACAACTCACCAGAACGGCTGCCTCAGAAAGTTCACCTAATCCTCTCACCGCACCTTCTGTTATGATGAAGACAATCCTACATGGCTAGATAGAATCTGGACCGTCAGGCACCAACACTCCCAGATCTCTTACAGGCTGTTGCTTTCTGCTGAACCGATCCAGCAAAATCCCGAGTCTCCTCTACCTGGAGATCAAATGCCCCTAGACAAAACCTGGACAACCAGCGAGACTGCTGCACCTTCAAAAAGAACTGAGAGCAATTTATTTTCTCCTGTTTCAGGACCCCTCTTCCATCCACGCCCTTGCCTTGATTCATCCTGTTCCTCCAGAATCTTATTCCATGGGTCATCCTTCATTTTATTTCACTAATTAATTAATTAATTAATTAATTTTTTACCTCCACCTTCAATCTCCTGCATTCTCTTGAGCCCATTTCCTCAGTCTGAAAACATTCCCCCCTCTTCCATTCTGAGGTCAATGGGTCTTCCTATGGTCAATCTCCTCAATCTCATTTCTCTCCGTTGCATACAGACTTCTCAAAGTGTGGTGGGCCACACCATATTCTCTGCTTCGTCATCTCATATTTTGTGTTCAACCTACTGCAGTCTGGAGCCTGCCAACACCGCTCTGCAGATACTAGTCTCACCAAGATTATCTGTGCCTTGTTAACCGCATTTCATTCACCATCTTACGTGTGTTTCCTGCTCTGTTGGACAATAATGGTGATTCTTATTCTGAGCACACTGCTCCCATGGCTTCGGTGACACCACAGGCTCCTGGTTCCTTTCGCTTTCTGAAAGTTCCTTTCCTGTTCCTTCTTTGGGGTCTCTCTGTTTGTGTCCTGTGGCTCCTGACTACATGCACTCTTTGGATTATTTTTTCCAGTGTTGCTGTTTCAATTTTCACCTGAACTATGATGTCTTCTGTATCGGTCTACTCGGCTTGCCATAACACATACCATAGACTGAGTGCTTAAACAACAGCTCCGGAGGCTAGAAATCCAAGATCAAGGCATTGGCAGGGTGGTTTTCTTTCTGAAGCCTCACTCCTTGGGTTGTAGATAGTTTTCTTCTTCCTTTCCTCTGTGCTTGTCTGTGTCTTAATCTTCTCTTTTCATAACAACACCAGCCATACTGGGGTAACTCACTCTAGTGATCTTATTTTATCTGATTTACCTCTTAAAAGACCTTGTCTCCAAATACAGTCACATTCTGAGGTGAGGACTTCACCATAGAATTCACAGAAAATAGTTTGGTCCATAACATCTCCTAAATCTGCATCTCCAGCTCACACTTCTCCTTTAAAATCAGGACTGTCTAAATGCCTACTGGACATTTCTGGTAAAATTTCCCACAAGAGCTTATTTAAGCCCACTCTTCCTCTGTGTTTCCCATTTCCACAGGCAGCACCACCATTCATGTAGTCAGCCAAGGGGTCTTTTTTCATTCCTTCCTCTCCAGTATCCCACACATTCAACCAACCCCCAGATGTTGCTCTCTGGACCTCCGAAGTACTCCTGTCCTTTCCTCTCCTCTCCATCCCTGGCTTTAGTTCAGGCTGTTACCTTCTCTGCCTTTGGTTATCATACAAATCTTTTTTATTTTTGATTTGCTTTCCTGTTTCCATTCTAGTCCCCTTTGAGTCCACGTACCCTCAATAAAATCTCTTCAATGGTTCCTCATTGTCTGTGGAACATGCCTCCACTTTTTAATATGGCAAATGAAGCTTTTAAAATTAGGATCTTATATTAGCAGCCTCAAATTTCACTATTGTCTGTTCATACTTTCTACTTCAGTAACATGAATCCGCTTTGGGTAGCCCACATATTCCATTCTTCCTTAAACTCGTGTATTTACACCTTTGCTGATTCTCTCCTCTTTGCCCAGAATGCTGTTCCTCAAACTCTCTCATTTCTCTCTTGCCTACCACTGTCTAGTTAACTCTACTCATCTCTAGAATAATTTCTTCCAGAAAGACTTCTTGGAGTAAGAGGTCCCCCTCTCTTTCCCATAATACTCTATTGATATTCTTATTAGCACATGAGTGATAATGCCCATCCCCATTTCTAGGCTGTGTGTCTCTTGAAGATACAGACTTTTATTAGCCTTGGTTTACCTAGCATGGTCATTTACACCACTCCTGGTGTACAAGAGACACCTAAAAAAATACCTCTTTGTTTAGTCTCAGTCATCAGTGGACTCTATTTTGAAGTTCATCTAAAGAGTTAAGTCACAAATTAGGGCCCTGTCCTAATAGTTCAATGACTCTTTAGATGTGTCCTTTATTTCATACATAAGAGGGTATGTTTAAACTCTTAAGATTAAACAAGTGTACTAAATCCTCTACAGGGAAAAGTAGAACCACTAATCTGAATTAGTGTTTCTGCCTTGGACTTAGATTAGTGATTCACAGCATGATACACTCAGGCTCATTTCCATGTTAGCTGCAAACCAGATCATAGTCTCTTAAAAACAAAATACATGGTTCTTCAAGGAAAGAATTAATCTTTATTTCCTTAACATCTTGCAGAAATTAATTTGGCAGTTATTTTACCAAAGGTGTTTATTTTCAATGATGCTGGCTTTGTGGTTTTGTGATAAGAAAAATTTATGACTGCCCTGGATTACTCTATATTTCTATATATTTCTGTAGCAGGATAAAGGCCTTTTATGTTAGCAGTGGGGAAAGCACTGGGGAAATGGACACACTTCAGGTCAGCATAAGGATAAGGAAGCTCCATCATTGGGGGTTTTGTCTGTGTTGTACACTGCTCTATCCCCAACACCTAGGAAAAGGACAGGCATGGAGTAGGTGCTCAATAAACATTTGTTGTTTGAATAAAGAAAGTACATACCTTGCACTTGAAGAACCTGAGAGATGTCAAACCCTTGGCTGATTCTGACTATGACCACACCAATCTCAAAGTCAAACGCATCACTGAAAGTAGAAGCAAAGTAGTTAGGGATTTGAAAGGCTCCTTTAATCCTGAGGATTTGTACTAATCATAAGAGAGCCTAAGAGTCTCAATTCTAAGATTTTAATGTAACTAAACTATGAAAATTCACTTTAGAATATAGACAAGAGCTGACGCCTCTTTTGTTAGTTTGTTTTTTTTTTTCCCTTTCTGCCATTTAAAAAGGTATTCTGGATAAAGGTAATTAATTCATTTACTCTGGAATCAAATTATTCAAATAATACTGTCACCTAGAATTTTGATTAAGAACTTGCCACATACTTTTAAAATAATTGTTTCTTTTCTAATGTAAGCACATATTTAGAACAGAGAGTTTCCAGGCTGCAAAGACCCTTTGAAATTATCAGCCAAATCTCTACTTATTGAGAAAGTATCCTACAACATTGCTGATGTCAAGTTGCTTCTTAAAGATACATCCAGTTCCTCCAAAGAATGTTCACCATTGACTCTGAGCAGACCATTTGAAGCAATGCTTTTTCCTGACAATCCTTTGCCATTAAGGTTGGCTGTTGCCTTCTCTACACTCAATCCAACAGAATTAGGTTATCTATAAGGTAAAGAAAAGCTCTCTTTCTTGTATGTCTATTCTTGTAGAATATTGTTTTCTCTGCCCCTACAGTGGGTTAAACAAATTAGTACTTTGAGTTTATTTAAAATTTTCTCCTCGGAGGTTCCTTTGATCAGTCTCAAATGGATCTAAAGCCTTCCCACGGAATGTCGCCCTCTACCAGAAATAATGCAGTTTGTGATTGTCTCACCACAGGCAAACAAGTTTCGATTAGCCAAAGTGAACCTGAATTTTCAAATAAGGATATAAGTAAATTCAGTATAATGTGAACATTCATTGAAAATTTAAACCATGTGATCGTCACTGAGCAACATGGACCCATTCGAGCAAAAGTTGCTACAAAATAAATTTCTGAGAAATCTTGTTTCTATTTGTCATTGTGTATAAAAAGTGGACCACGTGTTCCACAAATAATATTTGGGTCCTGTGTCAGGCAGGATAATTTTAAACCCTCCAAAGACATCCACATTCTCATCCCTGGAACCTCTGAATATGTCACCTTCCATGGTGAAAGGAACTTTGCCCACGTGATTAAGTTAGGGACCTTGAGATGAGGAGATTAACCTAGATTATCTGTCAGGGCTCTGTGTCTTTTATCACAGGCTCCTTAAAGAACGTTTGGGAAATAGGAGAGGAGGTCAGAATAATAATGAGAAGGGTATGACCCATCAGAGCTTTGAAGATGAAGGAAGAGGGCCAGGAACAGTGGGCGGCCTCTAGAATTTAGGAAAGGCAAGGCTAGGGATTCTCTCCTAGAGCTTCCAGAAGAGAATAGCCCACAGCTTAGCCCACACCTCGATGTTAGCCCATTGAATTAGTATCAGACTTTTAGCCCATATTTCCATAGGCTATGAAATTTGTGTTGTTTTAAACCACCAAGTCTGAGGTAATTTTTTTACAGCTGCCAGTGAAAACTTAACACAGATTCTAATTAAAATTAAACCATATCTAAGAATATTATAAACATTTAAAATCTTTTACTCAAAGAAAAATGAGAAATACTATGCTATTGTAATAATACCCCTATGTTAGCAATAATACCATGCTTTTAGTCATAAAACAAAACTAAACTAAACTAAGTGGAAGGGAAATATAATACAATGTGGAGGTATGATTGTCTTCCTTCTATATTGACCTCACTGCTATGGTACTAAAGTCATTTAACTTTACTAAACCAGCTAAGTTTTATACTAGTACAAATTCTAGCCACCTTAACATTGAACTTTATTACCAAGAAGACCAATTATTAATTTGGTATAAAAGCCCGAAGTCTTCTTGGCCTAATATTACTGGGTTTGATTATTTTTCCCTTTTAATTTCTAGAATGTTTGGGACAGTGGAGGTTGGAAGATGACCCCAGATAATTTTGTTATCAACTATTGGGAGTTTAATCACTGAAGGTTTACATTGTCTTCCTGTTTGCTCCAATCCTTTTCTTCCCAAAGATGAAGAAGAAATTTCTTTCCTTTCCATGCCTCTCCACCAGTGGTAAACATGAAATTTTACTGAACAATCTGGATTACAGAGAGCAGATCTGATCTATTTCCAAGAATGGTCAGTGACTGACTGTGATTATCAATATATCAAAATACTGGTTGCTGAGCATGGTAAAATTCTGACCCTGATCACCTGCTTTGGCCTTAACCTGCTGAACTCAAGGTACACGGCAACATGAGGCATCCAGGCTTCATACCTTTGGGGAACACAATTTGGGAGGATGCGTTTAATACACAGGTTCTCTATGTTAGGAAGATTTTTATGTGAATTTCTGTTTGGTCAGTAATGCATATAAATTTCAGAAGATGAAAATGGTCTTCTTATACATCTTTTCAGCAAACTAATTCTAGAATGCTTTTGTAATGCTCTGCAAATCTCCCCCAGATAATAAATACGATGCTCGTTCTAGCAGGGGCCAGCGACACAGGCTGGTATAACGAGTACTTTGTATGTATATGTTTGTTTTGAAGGGGTGAGGATTTCTTTCCTGTGTATTATAGATTTTTAAAGTGCAGTCAGACTTCTCAGGGCACACTCTCTGCCCTGTGGTGTGGAATCAGAGCAAAGCCAGACTCCAGACTAGAAATGTTCCATTTGCAGAGCTGTTGACAAAAGAGGGCTGTTACATAGCTAACATTGCCCCCCGTGAGACAAATTCGGTTAAACATGTTCAAGCCCGGAAGAAAGGCTCAGTTTTCTAGAATGGTCACTGAGGACACTCTGAGCCTTTCTGTATGTGAAGAATTTGTTTTCTCTTATTCAGAAGAAGGAACCAAGCCAGATAATATTTCGGCTCTACATATACTTTCGGAGGCATCAGAGCATTGTGGTCATGAGTCTAAACTTTCAATTCAATAGCCCTGGGTGGGAATTCCAGCTCTGTCACAACACTGTCATTTTCTGCAGCCTAATTAATTTTTAACGTCTGTATCTCTATTTATAAAACCACAACAGTATTTGTACTACAAAGGCCTCTCATGAGAATTAAATGGGATAATTCATGTCAAGGACACTAGCCTGCGACCCTCTAGTCTGTTTGGGACTATCATTATTGACCTTGTCCCAAGACTTCCTCGATGTTTAGATATGAGATGTCACGTTCCACTGAAAACTCAGTTTTTGTTCTTAAACCAACACAGAAGCATCTATACATGACAGCCTCAGATCAGCAAATGGGGAGCCAAGGCTCTGGGGTAGTAAATTCTTGATCCAAGCCTCAGGAGAAGACAATGACACAGCAGGGTACACCGGCCAACCCAAGGTTCTTGGTGTTCTGAATGACCATTTCCTTTCTCACCTAGCTGTCCTTTGCTCTTAATCTTGTGAATAGGTTTCAAGATTGTAATGCTTAATATTTACCTTTTCCTGTGACATCGAGTTTCCCCCACGCTGCCTCCTCTGATGCTATGATCCCATGCAGTCCTACTTGTGGCAGTGTTTTTTCACTTTGGTAAAGAACTCAGGGTACCAGGGGAATGAATGCCCTCTTCTCAGGCAATTTCATCTACAAGAGCGTCTGTTATGTACTGCCCTGTTTAGTGCTTTGTAAACAAGAACACGTCTCGAAAGCCATCACTTACTGTATGATTCCCACATAGTTCTCAATCTCTGTCAAGGGAGCTTTCCTCCAGTTTTTTTTATATCCAATCACCAGAGTGTTTGGTTTCATTCTTCCTAAGCCCGAGGCCTAAACAGAGGAGATAAACACATGGACAATCCTTTCCATACCAGGAAACTACCACAGCAAATGAAGAATAATGTCCACAAGAGCACGGAAGTAATGTCCGGGAGATTTCTGAAGATGAGATTACATTTTAGTGCATGTCCTTCATGCCCGTACCCAAGCATAAAATAGAAAGATTAGTTCTAAATCATCTCAGCCATAAATGGGTTTTAGATGACAGAAATGTAGCTTTTCTAAATTAGCAGTCATTTGCATTTCTTCTGACACACTCATTAAAATGGTTCAATAATTTAAAATCAAGCGAGGGTTGGCTTAACCGTTGGCATGCATGTTGTAACTTAGTGGTTCAAAGCTCATTTCCACCCGTTTTACCCATAAAGTCATTAGCAATAAAATCCATGTTTGGAAAAATGCTTAGACGCAAGCATCACTGAAACTTTAACTTCCATTATTTCATGGAGAGTAAGTGAGCTATGTCTCCAGGACCTAATCCTCTCGCAGGACAGTATCATGAACAGTGGTCTTCCACTGCAGTTTTTACTCCCCCCATTAGGTGCTGGGATATGGCTTCCAGTTAATTAAACTTCACTCAGCAATATTATTGAGCACCTATTAATTGCAGAATGTTATGGTGGGTGCTGTGGAAGAGCAGTGAGGCATAGTCTTCGGCCCTAAAGAGATTAGGATACTGTGAAGGAGGCAAGATATACACAGATAATTATAATTCAAGTGTACAAGCAGTAGGAGCTCCTATGGAAGCAAAAAGGAAGAAACCTTGAATTCCAGCTGTGGACTCATGGCTGGCTTCAAGGGAGAGGTGAGATCTCACCATTCCAAGTTGGTGAGAGGTTGACAGGCACAGAAAGGAGAGTGGAGGGAGTAAAAGAAGGACACTTTTGATCACAGGAAGAGTGAAACCGGTGACCAGAGTGGGACATGTTAAAGGGGGCAGTAGCAAGCAGGAGAAGATGGGAATCAATGGGAGGGTTCCTGCCACCATATTTGTTGTGTTTCTCCTGGAATTGTACAGGTAGCAGGACAGCTCCTTAGCGCTCTCATTAAGTGGTCAGCAGGATGGAGCTTGTCCTTTCTGTGACTATAGTCTGGGGAATGTGATCATTCGTCCTGTCCTTTTTTTTTTTTTTAATATTTTATTTATTTATTTGACAGAGATCACAAGTAGGCAGAGAGGCAGGCAGAGAGAGAGGAGGAAGCAGGCACCCCTCGGAGCTGAGAGCCCGACGCGGGACTCGATCCCAGGACTCTGGGATCATGACCTGAGCAGAAGGCAGAGACTTTAACCCACTGAGCCACCCGGTGCCCCTTGTCCTATCTTTTTGTCCTCATACAGGACTATACTCTACTTTTCTTTGAGCAAATCCAAGTGAACAAGCTTTCTGCATTGTTAATTTTTTTTTTTTACAGTTTCTTCCAGAGTCGTATAACAATTGTTTTCCAGACCCATCTTTTCTCTCCCTGCTTATTCCATGTTAGTTCACCCATTCCTCCCTGCAAATTTTATTTACCAATCTTTTGTGATAATTTTTACCTGATATGTGTAGCATTCTCAACATATTTCACCAAAGAGCTACTGAAAAGTACCTCGCTACAAAAGAAATCAGCCTCTTAAAAATGCATCTATTCCCATGGCTTAGCAAATTCATAACAGGTGAAAAGATGCTCACTGGGGCTAATAGGTCTTTCAGAAATGGTTTCTCTGCATGTGCAGCTACTTTGCAAGAGTTCTTCAGGAATATTAGAGACAGGAATGCACCAAATACTCTTAATCTCCAAAATATGACAGTTTAATCAATTTTTTCCTTACCAACCTGTGTAAGCATCAGAGTTCCTGGACACCGCCCTGAATTTCGACACTCCTAGAAATGGTAACTCTGAAAGCAAGTACATCACTTGGTATATGTAGAATCAGGGCTTTCCAACCATATTGAGCCAAAATGTTTAGAAAGCGAAGCCCTACAGTTTCTCAGGGTCTCCCTGGATTGCTTTAAGGATATCTCACCATTCTAAGTTATGATCAGGCCTCGGGAAAGATTCTATGTATTTATTATGGAATCGAGGAAAAAGGAAAGAATAAGGGAGAAAAGATAGAGTTGTGGGTTTTAGCGAGCAGCCACAGAGATTATTACATTTTATTCAACATTCTGGAAATAATTTAGGAGAAAAGGGAGACTTTACGCCCAGATCACCACACGTTTATTCAGTGGAAACTAGCAGCTTGCCCTCGTGCCATTTGCAGGAGAAAAAAGGAGCAGAATGCCTGACTTGAGCATTGCTACATGCAGTATGAAATGCAAAAATAGTTTGAAGTTTTAATAGGATCCTGAATGTCGTCAGCCATCAGAACAAATTTGCATTTCAATAAGTGTGGGGACAGAATGTATGCTGGTGGCCAAAGGCAACCTCATTTTCCATTTCCAGTGTATCATCCATAGTTCATTGTAATAGAACCTCTTTGCCTTTGTTTCAGCTTTGTCTCTCCTCAGGAATTCCAAATGAATTCCTTGAGCATCTGCATTGATCTCTGGGCCTGCACTGTCTAACTGGAGCCATTCGCGATGGGAGTTTCATTAACGGGGGAGGGCTAATTGTCTTTTGCCTCCGGGCTCATTCCCTCAATGCCAGCCTTACCTGAAGGAGACTTCGGACACCATCTCGGAAACAGTCTGCGGCCACCGCAGCATAAAAAGCCTTGATTTTGTTCTTTATAAGCCAGGCCTGCTTTTTTGCCATGCCACTGTTCATCTCTTTAACACACAGCTTGCGCGGTCCCTGTACGACACGATGAAATATTGGTTAGAAGCCCTGCTGTTACCCGACGCACTGCTGATATTTTCTAAAGGACAAAAATAGCCAGCAATGCCCCATTGAGTTAAGAAATGGGAAAGAGGGGAAAACACCTCACTAAACAGGGTTCACGCAGATTGAACCTTGTGGAGTGGGTCTGTGCTGCTCCCATCACTCACTTGCCACCCAGAATGTCCAGATGCATTAACACCTGCTTAATTAACTGCCTCATGCCAATGGAAGAAAGAGCCAAGGGCATCATAGCACAGGAAAATGAAAATGTGACTGAAGAAATTCAGGAAAAATAACACGATCAAACTTTGACTCAATAGTAAAAGGCATGTTTAATTACACTAAGGGAATTTCAGCCAGAGCCCAATTTGAAGAAATGGACTGAGCTCCTGGGAGCAGAACGTGGTGGGTTCTAAGTTCTACCATGAACTACCACATCTTGACAATTCTACTAGGCCCATTCATTGCTTTTTTGTGTGGTAAAAACACCCTTGCATCACTTTTCCTTGTGTAATGTTGACTTATTCCCACCCAAATAAATTAAGATATCCCTCCACTCAAAGAATTTGGTGAGAACAGAGGTTCACAAGTCTATAGCATAGGAAGAATAGTAGAGCTGAAGAGAGGAGGAGACAGGTGTTCTCGTGGCAGATGAAACGGCTTATAATTTTAAGATTTGAGTTCTGGAAACTCATTTTAACTAAAATTTTGATTCTTTTCCTTCTTCCCCAAAAGTCCAACTAGCTCTTTTCTTTGTAAGTTTCAAAGCAAACCCCAAAAGTGTTTCTGATGATCTATAATACGGCTGATAAGCTAAAGAATCTGCTACTATTTTCCTAGGAAAATTCTTTCAACTCATGGAGAGATTAGGTATGCTATTGAATTGTCATAGATTTCTTACAAGCCACTTGGGATCTTGATGAAATGCAGTGTGTAGGTCTGGAATGAGGCTTAAGATTGTGCATTCTAGGGATGCCTGGGTGGCTCAATGGGCTATGCCTCTGCCTTTGGGTTCGGTCATGATCCCAGAGTCCTGGGATCGAGCCCCGCATCACGCTCTCTGCTCAGCGGGAGCCTGCTCCCCCTGCCTCACCCCCCTCCCCCGCCTGCCTCTCTGCCTACTTGTGATCTCTCTCTGTCAAATAAATAAATAAAATCTTTTTAAAAAATCTGCATTCTAACAAACCCACAGGTGACACGGATGATGCTGGTCCTCAGGCCATGCTTAGGGCCACAATCTTAGAGGGTATTAGATTGGAAAGGGCTTGAGATGTATGAGAAAGATGCCAGGCTTCGTGGTCTTCAGAACTGGTTTCAAATTTAAGTGTGGCCATTTTGGAAGTATTATTTCTGTGTTTTGGTCGATTTTTCTCGAAACAGGGCTAAAATCTCTATCCTGCAAGGTTGTTTTGAATAGTAATGATAAAGTGCCTAGAAGATAGTAGGTACTCCTCCAAAGTTGGATGATTTTTATTATTTTTATTATCGTAAATGAGACCTTACGATCTCATGGAAGCCCCAGACTTATTTCCATCACTGTGTTTGCTCTACAACAGAGTGCTAAACTGGAAGCCAGAGCGTTGGGTGTAGATCTAGCTCTCACACTGACTGGCAGGTACCTCGTACCATGTATCCTCTCTTGGTGTGAGTTTTACATCTATAAAAATAAGGGAATTGTCTAGTTCCTCACTGCCGAGTATGGTAGGCCCTGAGTGTATGAGATATGTCTGGTCCACACTGAGATGTACTGGAAATGGAAAATACACACTGGCATTTGCAACCTTAGAATGGAAAAAATGTTAAATATCTCATTAAAGTTTTTATAGTGTGCATATTGAAATAATAACATTTAGGACGCACGACATTAAATAAAATCTATTAAAATTAACTATTCTTGTCTCCTTAAATTTGCTTTTTCCAATGGCTACTAGAAAACTTTAAATTACATAGGTAACACATATCATATTGCTATTCCATAATACTAGATGATCTCAGTGATCACTTCCTTTTTAACATTTTATTTAAATTCGATCAGATTCTTTATGTACTTGTTTTTACCAGCATATTTTCTAGAACTTGCCAACTTTTCAAAAGATTTTTCAAAAACAGTTTGGATAACTTACATTAAAGTTTAAAAACAAGAGACTTCAATGAAGATGGGCTAGAGGACAATAGTTATTAAACCAGAAGACCTAACCTAAAGAAACATATGTCATTATGGATCAAATTTTGCTCAGGGTTCTAGAATGTCAGTGCATTTTGAACCATTAGTTCTCCTTAGGCTTTCTAGACTCTGTCAACAGCAAAGAAAGAAGAAATATTTTATTCAGGAAAATTCAATGGTAACCCTGAGACAGAAGAATAACCAACAGCTGGAAAAGGTATTGGGCCATCAGTATATTGAGTTGTACCACAAGGACTATGAGCCCCTAGGGAAAGTGGCATTTATTTAAATAAATACAGTCTAATGTATGTCTATTATTGCCACAAAAATCCCAATTAAGCATTAATTGTGACAGAAAGATTTACATTAATGCCTAAATTTGCCATACTGAAAAGTCATAAAAATATTTCAGGCAGAATCTCTCTTTGCTAAAAGTGATTATAATATCTTTGTAGCACACTTATGAATGTGAGACAAGGCTGCAACACAAATGGAGTAGGGGAAAACAAACTAACAAAGAGAGAAGACATACTGGAATATAATTATTCAACATTCAAATTTATCATAGTCACCAAAATGGATTTTACCACCCAATTAAAATATTAGAGAGATTAGCTCAGTGAGGCTCCAAAATATGAATGCATAAATTAATTTAGAATTTGAACAAAAAAGCTCCAAAAATGTTATATATATATTATAACTTTGACATTGATTGAGAAAAGGGTAAACAAATTCTATTTAGTCTACAGAATAGTTGATGTGATGCTACTTCAAAAAAATGAGAATTATGGGGGCACCTGGGTGGCTCAGTGGGTTAAAGCCTCTGCCTTCAGCTCAGGTCATGATCCCAGGGTCCTGGGATCGAGCCCCGCATCGGGCTCTCTGCTCAGCAGGAAGTCTGCTTCCTCCTCTCTCTCTCTCTCTCTCTGCCTGCCTCTCTGCCTACTTGTAATCTCTGCCTGTCAAATAAATAAATAAATAATCATTAAAAAAAAAGAAAAAAAATGAGAATTATGAAAAGAATTTGCAAAGGAGTTCCAATATCATTAGTATCAAATAGAGAAATTTGGGCTAAAAGCAATGTTCTTTCCAGCTTTCATTTTACAAGACACTGAGAGTGTTGCTGCTCTGTCTTTGTTTTCGTTGTCACTCTGGTTGGAACAGCGGGAGAGAGAATTTTTCCTTTCTGTTTTGGTCCATATTTTGTCTCGCCTTGTGCCTAGTGCCCATTCATAGGACATTTCATTTTCCCTGCACTGGGCCATGTCACTATCTTATACATATTATAACAGAGACTCGATGGCTAAATAAGAAGAGATGCATCTATAAACGTGCATCGACTTGGTGGTTGTGAACATTAAAAAGAGGTTGAAGGGGCAGCTGGGTGGCTCAGTGGGTTAAGCCTACTTTCGGTTCAGGTCATGATCTGAGGGTCCTGGGATCGAGCCCCTCATTGAGCCCCTCATCCAGCTCTGCATACAGCCCTGCATCCAGCCCTGCGTCGGGCTCTCTGCTCAGCAGGGAGCCTGCTTCCCCCTCTTTCTCTGCCTGCCTCTCTGCCTACTTGTGATCTCTCTCTCTGTCAAATAAATAAATAAAATCTTAAAAAAAAAAAAAAGGTTGAAGAGAGAAGAAAAAATAAGAATTGTAGTTTCCCCTGGTTTATATGTCCTTGAAATGCACAGGATTTGGTTGCATTCCCTGACTTTTCTGAAGAGCATCTTTGAATTCCAATAGAGCTTTAGGTTTTATTAAGATAATTTATAGGGGCACCTGGGTGGCTCAGTGGGTTAAAGCCTCTGCCTTCAGCTCAGGTCATGATCCCGGGGTTCTGGGATCGAGCCCCACATCGGGCTCTCTGCTCAGCAGGAAGCCTACTTCCTCCTCTCTCTCTGCCTACTGTGATCTCTGTCTGTCAAATAAATAAATAATAAAATCTTTAAAAAAAAAAGATATTTTATAAATTTGGGATGCCTGGATGGCTCAGTCGTTAAGCGTCTGCCCTTGGCTCAGGTCCTGATTCCTGGGTCCTGGGATCGAGCTCTGCATTGGGCTCCCTGCTCGGCGGGAAGCCTGCTTTCCCTCTCCTAGTCCCCTAGTTGTGTTTCCTCTCTCACTGTGTCTCTCTCTGTCAAATAAATAAATAAAATCTTAAAAAAATAAGATATTTTATAAATTTTAAGAAAAAAAGAGAAAGGGTGAAACAGTAAGGGTGAAATTTTGTTAAAAGGAGATCTACATGAGGAAGCTAGTCAAAAACTATCTGTTATCTCCTTTACGATGAAAGGAAAGAACAGGACAATCAAAGTTTAAAGGACATGAAAGAGTAGGAAACGTTAATCAAAATAGATCTACATCTTGGTACATTTAGGTGAACTGAGTAGAAGAATACCAATAAACCTCACATAACATTGCCTTTGGAGAGGGAGAGAGCCATGAAGTCGTTATAACAGGGACTTGAGTGATGATGGTTTATTTCATTCTAAAAGTGAGTAGGAACATCCATGACAAAAATGTTAACAGTCATTAATTAAAATGAGTAGAATATGGGTGTCCTTTAATTTTATATAGTTTACTCATATGAAATTGTCCATGGTCCACACTTTTGACTGACAAGTGTAAATCTCATATGATTCAATCTACTATTTTTCTTAATGTTTCAAAATAAAAAAGATAGAAGCAATCTTTAAAAAAAATCTTTATTTTTCAGCCACCAGGGCAACAAAATGTACTTAAAAGATGCTACTGCACCCTTGAAAGCCTTTTGCAACTTTAAGACAAACCAAATTTTGCAAAGAAGTAAGTGTTACATTTGGGAGACAAAAAAGGCTTTATCTGATTTGCGTTCTAAATCCCAGATCAATTGGATCAAGTTTCCATCTTTAAGTTATTTTTGTCTTTGATTTGTTTTAATAAAAAAATACCCTGCCTTTAAACTAAAACTGAGAAGTAGATGAACGAGGGACTGTCGACGCCTGCATGATGCCTTCCCACGTGGAGAAGAGAAACGTGAGCTGACACCTTACAATTTTTAGAACCAAACAGAGTGTACTCAGAGAAAGAAGACTCCCTATGCCCAAACTAAGTTATTGCAATGATTGGTTTTATTGTCTTCCTAACTCCTATAAATAAGTGAGGAAACTGATGGACAAAGAAAGAAAGTGTGTTTTTACATCATGGTACACGGCGTACAATCAGTGGAGACTGCAACTCCTGACTTACTACTTGCCTGCTGCCGAACCCCCCGATCTGGACAATGCTTGACAATATGAGAAGATGCTAGAAGGGTGGAGTCCTACTCCCTCTGATCTTTCTGTGACTATAGGAACGAAGCATAGAAGAAGAAAATTACTTTTGTTCAATATAAAGCCTCTTGGGAGATATATATGTTGATGATTTAGCACGTGTTAACTCCAAGGAGGAGCAGACAATATTGTGAGTTACCAAGCTGGATTCCTTAAAAAAAAAAAAAAAAAAAAAAAAAAGATGCTCCTATCTGAAAGATGAAGGATAATTCTGAAATATTCAGGCTGGGTAGGGAAGAAGCAAGAAGAAGGAAGAGGCTCTGATGGGGGAGTGTTAAGAGTTGGAGAGTTGGAAGGACACAGTGGGGGGCTTGGGGTCCAGCAAAAAGAGTAACTCTTTCCATTTCAATTTCAGCAGCTCCAAGGGCTAGTCCTTTAAAAACACCATTGCTGTAGAAAATGGCAGCTGTAGCCACATACTTCCCATCCACCCACCGGCAACGAAATACCAGTGATCTCTGAGTCTTGCTTCTTCCTTGTAGCATAACCACATTTCAAGTCAGCACCAAGATAAGTAAAGACCACCAGAGGGACAGAGCACAGAGCCTGCTGTCCTATGTTTATTCAGCAGGAATATGTAGCTCATTTTTCTATTATGATCATGTTGGATGCCCACAAATAGTCCAAAATCCAGTACTGGGATCTGGTTTCCTAAGAAAGGATGTTTTTGGTTTTGTTGAAAGGGATATATTTTTGGATTGAAAATGGCAAGCAACTGTGCTATACCAAAAATAATGGTGATGAAAATAACAGTTCCAGCAATAACAAGTACAATTAGTTGAGCAATTACTATTTGACAGGTGATGTGCCGAGCCCTGGAAAGCTCACCTGCTAGAATCTCACAACAGCTCTACAACATAGGTGCTATTATTATTATGATTCCCATTTTATAAGGAAAGAGAGAAAACTGAGGTTCAGAAAGACTAAATTCTGTACAAAAGGGACTCACAGCTAACAGGTGGCAAAGAGTGATGCAGAACTTGACCGTGTGTCTCAGAAACCCATGAGCACCAGCCTCCCAGAGTTAAGAACTGCATTGTCACCTCTCAAGATCATCATTCCTATTTAACCTTCCAATAAGGATGGCCCAACTACCGAAAACTGTGCTTTTGGAAAAAGTTTTCTAAGGGTATGCAGCGGACATCCCCCATACCCCATTCCATCTGTTTCTTTGCAAAGATGATTGACAACTGAGCCTAGAGTTGAAATGCTGATGGCATCTGCAGCCCCAGGGGCTCACAGACAGCGACTAACTGGTAAGTCATTAACTGATGCAGCAACTCTTTTCTGTCCCCAAGAGAACCTCAGCACCTGGGAGCATGACTCGCAGGCCTTACTCAGAGAGACCAGCACAGTGATATATAACGTGGTCCAAAAATACATGTCGAACACCAGGGCCATTGGAGGCACAGACACAGGTGTATACTTCATATGATATTCCACAATCATGCTCTTTTATTAGAGTGAAAGCAGCAAAGGGTCAATTAAAAGCTGTATCTCCCATCTTTATGAAAAGACCTATTCTCCTTTGCCAACATATGACTTTTTATACTCTCAGTTCATTTCTCCTGTCCTAAAAATATTGTATTGCCTGCTAAACTAAGTTTTCTCTAAATTGGGAGAAGAAAAACACCCCAAACTGCTTATTCCATCAAAACCGGCTCCTGTATTATCTTGGCCAAAATGAAATTCAGTAATCCAGGGCACCAAAGTTGATAATATGAGAGAAGGGTGTTTGATAAGATTTTTAAAAGTCCTCTGGCATCACAGTGGGTCATTACTTAACCTGTCAATCTTATGTAGTCAGAAGTGTTCCTTCCACTTCCTTCTGGATAATTGTGTTGAGCAATATTGTCTCAGTTACTAGCATATAAGCACTGAGAGGAAGGAGAATATGACCAGTATGGCATCTAGAGGATTGCCAAGTGTACAAAATGCTTAAGTGCTGGTAATGATGATGTGTAGTAAATTTGTCCCTGCATCATGGCACAGCCAGCGGGTCCCAGAATTACACGGCTTCCTGTCAGCCTACTCCCTGGCAGGTGTTGGAAGTTTGGGTAGCGATGCCTGATTCTATCGGCACTTCCAGGGACACAAGTCTGCTAAGATCTTCTCCTCATGAGGTAACCCAGAGCACAGCTGGGTGGCCTGGACTGACATCCTGCTTCTCTTACTTTCTTGTCACGTGACCCCATGCAAGAATTTCATTTTCTTAAATCTCACTTTTCTAACCAGTAAAACAAGAACAGAGATTCTTTCTCCTTTCTCCTCACTAGAATGTAATATAGGTCAAATAAGAAAAACTGTAGGAAAATGCTTCGAGGAATAGGTATGTACTAAAAAAAATTCATTGAAGTAGCTAAGGACTTTGAGTGGCATGTGTGTGTGAGAGAGAGAGAGAGAGAGATGGAGATAGAGAGAGCGAGATTGTTATGGGAACACAGTGGAGATAGACTGGTTTGAAGGGCCTAGACTTACTATTTTGTTATAATTTTAATGCTTTCTCCTCACTTTGGAGACTGGTGATTGGTCGATAATTATGGTTCAATTTTTAGAATTTGCTTTGCATTCCTCCCAAGACAACCACCAATAAGTTACCATTAGTCTACCACATACTTTCTGAACAAAAAGGAACTCATTCATCTCTGAATGTTTATCCAAGGCATGGGAAACTTGGTTTAATTCTCTAGATATTTGTAGTGTCATCAATTTTATCCAAATATTTAATCTAAATTCTATGTGCTGTCATTTCAGGACATTACGTCTGGTTTTCATCTCTTCAGTTAATCTACATAATAGCACTCTCTGGCTCATTCCATCCTTTTATATTTCTGTGGACAGTTACTACCCCAAATGCCTTCATTTTATTTCTGAGCCAGTTCTCTTTTTCTTGTCTCAAAGGCGGTCATTTGGAAATATTTATCACTTTTAGTTGGTCTCCTATGAAATCTGAAACACTTTTTATCCACTCGTTGAAATTCGGGATTACGGCCCTTGCCAGTCCTTGCTCTATGAATCAAGGAAAGGGGCTCTTGTCCAAACTGCCTTGCCATTTTCTTGTCACTGCCTGTACCCACCTGGCTCGCCTAAAACAATACAAGGTGAGCAGGGAGAGAGGCATCTTCCTGGGGTGAAGTAGCACTTACCACAAAGACTTCACAGCAGATGCAAAGGCCACTGTTCTTGGTAAAGGCATGAGTAATATCCAAGAGAGCAGGTCTTGTCATCGGTCCCCCCGTTAAGACAATGCACTGGGGCCTGGAAATGGAGAAAAGAAGATGTAAGAACTGGCCATTATAGGAAGCCTATGAGCCAGAGCAAACTCAGCGGAAATGGCAGGAATGGAGTGTTTGACCAACTGGGACAACCTCCCCCCTAAATATTTCTTGGGTTCCTCACCAGAATTCTTGAATCATCCTATCTACTCATCTTTCCATCTTTGTATCCTTAGTTTATTGGTGATGACAAAAATGTGAAGTAAGGAAAAGGTGGTCTTGGGTTCCCTGTCTTTTTCTCTCCGGGCACTACCCTTTCCTAAATCCCCAATACAACCTGTCCCGCTCCAGCTGGTATCTCCATACCACTTTCCTTCATCTTCCCTGCGAAGCTTGTTTTTTGGAGGGAGGGGTGTTCCATTCAAAATAAGATATAACTAGTGAAGAGTTTAAAATGTTGCTTTTGGGGACACCTGGGTGGTACAGATGGTTAAGCGTTTGCCTTCAGCTCAGGTCATGATCCCAGGGTCCTGAGATCGAGCCCCACATTGGGCTCCCTGCTCAGCAGGGAGTCTGCTTTCCCCTCTGCTTCTCTCCCCTGCTCATGTTCTCTCTCTCTCTCTCAAATGAATAAATAAAATATTAAAAAAATAAAATTTTACTTTTCCTAAGAGAATTCAGTAAGCCACAGAGCCTTAAGCTGAATGGAGACAGCACCAAGGATTAAGGTCCTTGGGGGTGTCTCTCTGAAATCGCATCCTGAGATCACCTCTCTATCTCTGTGCGTGAAGGTGACACCCAGCATCATGAAAGTTTATGGCCGGGGGTAACTTAGCTCAGAGTGGAAGAGAAGAAGCACTCATTCACAGAGATGTTGTTGTGAAAATGAGGCAGTTCTGTAGGACTCTCTAGACTTAGAATGTACCCATAAAGCATATCGCTACTCGAGGGCATCTGTCTCCACTAGAGGAAAGCCACTTCTACTGTGGAGAGACACCAGGATGCCTGAGAAGCCGATTTTACCTGAAATTTTTCACGTGGTCTTCCACAGTAGTCAATTCCAGGGCGTTGTCTAACGCACTGACATAGGAAAGAGCCTGTGTGGAGGAACCCCAGTTCACATCTGCGGACAACAGAAGATTTTGGCGCTAAAAGCATTGACCTTTCTCTCTGTATGCTGTGAATAATATTTATAAGTCATTGGCTTCTATGATTTTCCTTGGCTAGGTCATCAGTGAGGAGTGCCCAAATTCGAGAAAACACAATGTAGTATTTCCTAGAAAGAGCATTGTGTCCTTCTGTGAACGCTTTATGAATTTTTAGAAGTGAGATGGCTCTTTCCAGTTAAGGATCAGACTTTAAAGCTGCAGCCCCAGAAATTTTGCTGGGTGGGAGAGGCTACGTGATAACCACATTGCAAGTGTATAGACTTGGATAAATGGTTAGCCCCTAAATAAATTCAAAAGGTCTTCACAAATTCTTGGATTGAAAAGAGGCATTTCTGTAGACACGGATCACGAGCTATTTTGAATAGCTCAGGAATTCTTACTTTTTGGGTATCCATGAAGAGGTTTCAGCAAGCATTTTAATTTTTGATCTTTTAGGACCTAATCTTCGTCATGAGGGAGGTAAATACTACCATTTCCTACCCACTTTTTTCCCCTACCTTTTTTTGAAGGAAAAAAAAAAAATTAGATGGACCCTTCCATCAGGAAGTCCCTGGTGGGAATGTACAGATTTACTCCAGAGGGCAGATAGAATCATTTCCCTAGTCTTACTTGGAAGAGTCAGGGAAATGGTAGGGAATGATCTGGAGATAAGAAGATTAATATTGCCTAAAGTGTTGACTATGAACCAAGTATTTAGTGTACCTTAGGTATGCTACTTAACTTATACTCTACTTAAAATGTCAGCTCCATCACATCCTGCTACCTTGGCAAGTGATCAAGTTTCTTCATCTGTAAAATGGGTCTAATAATACCTAATATGGAGACTTATTGTAAGGATTCAATGAGTGCATGGTCTATAATAGATGCTCAACATAGTTAAATATTATTCTGTATTACATTATTAATATCCACTGTCCACATGGCACACCTAAGTACATAGGGGCTGCTCAATATACCTTTGTTGAAGGAATGGTTAGTCGAGGAGCGCTTTCAACCCCCCCCCCCCCAATACAGTCCTTATCTTACCTGGCTTCTTGTAAGTCACATAGATATAGAGGAAGAACTCAATGACGTAGGTGATGACAGCTGCCCACCAGTTGATGACAAACATAACTGCACAGCACAAAATAGCTCCAAAAAGAGATACCCACATGTTGTAAATTCCATATGCAGGTCTCCATCCTGAAAAAAAAAGTCTCGGTGCATAAAAAAACTTTCACACTATTGCTTCATATCACCGTATATGATTAAAATGCAGGCAACAGTTTTTCCTAGCATAAAAATCAGAATGTTTGGGTTAAGATCCCAATTCTGTTATTAGTTTTCTGTGATCTTGGGTCCCTGGCTTAGGAAAGTATAGCAAATGAGAACGCTGTGAAATACCGAAAAAGTGTCATTTATGGCTTCTTCCTATGTCCTGCACGCCCCAATCATCTTCCTCAACTATGAGACCTTAAGCCTCTCCTATCTCTACCATCAGGAGCTGAAAGGAGGCAGGAGAGATGAGAAGAGTGGGGTCTAGTGGGAAGGATGGGGGAAATGCCTTGGTGCCTCAAGAAAGAGGAAGTTAAGACAGTGGGCTTATTGTCCCAATGAAAAAGGCAGAGCATCATCAAAAGTCAAGCCACTAACTTCCTGCTAGTTCTGTCTTTACCTTAAGAGGATAGTACTTGCCCTTTCAGAAATAATAATCTATGGGAAAAGAGGGAGACATTTCTCAGAATTGGCTTCTTAAACCCGATGCGTTCATAAGATTTTGCATTTTACAGTGAAAATATTTCTCACGGTTCGTATATGTATGGGAGAGTCCCCTGTTCTCTTAGTTCCCTGCCATGCAGAAGCTGGGGAAGCTCTGATTTGAAGGGCATTTGGACAATGGACATTTTAAATTTGGAGTTGCCAAAATACAGAGCTTTCCAAGTCTTCAGGAGCAATTTCTGAAGTGGCCACAAGATGGAAATAGCACTTTGAGGACATCACTGAAAATGCCCTTATTTCTCGGAGTCTGGGTATGTGTGTGTCACAGGGGAACTGTGTGTGTCCTTTCTTGGTTTTGTGTATCTACTTGTCTCTATGTGGCCTGCTCTTTTTCCTCTCTTTCCTTTTCTCTCTTCCCCTTTCGCTCCTTCCTTTCCGGTCTTTCCCTTACCTACTCTATTATTTCACCTTGTTTTTCAAGGATGAACATAACATGGTGCAGAGGCACCCATTTCTATAACTTGTATTCACCAGCTAGGACTTTCTGTTCGCTGCTTAAAAGAAGACAACACAACAGAAATAAAAATTCCTCAGTTATTGTCTGGAGCCGAGTGACGGGTGGACGAAAGCTTCCTTCCATCCATATTCTGTCTTATTGGCAGCAGGTTTTCCAAAGGAAGCTGGAGACCACAGCAGGCCCTAACAGAGTGGAAATGCGTTCATATCCCTGATAAAGACCCTCCTGGGGAAGAACTTTCTGAAGGTCAACAGTGATGAGTGTCTATTCTGGTGGAAAGGCAGAAGGAATTCTAATAGCCAATGAAAGCGAGGAAGAGGTGGGAGGGTGGTGAGGTAGGGAAGGTTCTTCGGTGTGAAATTCTGCACCTCTTTCAACCACAGTCTGTGGAGGGCAGGGGTGTCACTGGCTTCAGTGCGAATTTGCATTGACTATACTCAGCAGGTAATTATGGGAACTACTCATCCTTCTCTTCTGCACCATGGGCAGGAAACAAATTGATAGTAAGGAAGTTTCAAATATATACATTTATTCCACTTCTGTGGTCACTTTCACCCTAGAAATAAATAGTGGTGTTTTTCTACTGCTGAAATAAATGTGGTTTCTCTTGCAATGAATAATTTATTGCCGCAGGAGAAAATTGACTTTACGGTTGGTCAAAAAGGCCATTGCTCAAATGATTCTTTTTCTATTTCAGAAGTCACCCCCCCCAACTCACCAAAATAAAGTGGATTACGCTGCCCACTAGGATACAAGGATACATACAAACACAGATTGATCACTTTTCACTGATTTCTTTCATCTTATTGAGACAAACTAACTGTCTGCTTAGGGTTCTTTCAGTTTTGAAGAGTCAACTTACCCGGAGATTTGGCATATGAGGCATGGAAGCAGGAGAAATTAATAAGTGCGTATGAGGCCAGGAAGAAGTTGGAGATGATGGGAGCAATGGTGTTCAGTTCCGCTGTGAACGAAGCAGAAGCGAGCATGTCCATGTGAGTTATGGGACCAGGGGCTGAACAGCTGTCAGAGCCTGGAAGCTTGACTTTATTTGGAAATTGAAAACATAGCTAGCATCTGTCAAAGTTTAAGAAGTTAGTGATTTTTCTTTGGGATTGCATTCATTTAAAAATATATTCTCAGTCAGGGTTTCCATAAAGCAAGGAGCAAGAAAACCTCCCAACGAGAAAATAGACGACAGACAAGCCTTCTACCTAGCAAACATTTAGAGGGGCGTGGGTAGAGGGTTCGGCGACTGGGCAGATGATAAACTCCCCTGCTGCTCTTCCAGACGTACCAAATCCTGCAATCTTTCTCTGCTGTGGATCTAAGCAAAAAACTCTGCAGGGCAACAGATTAGTTAAATACAGGGGCACCCGAAATGCCTAACTGGAAATTTCTATGCCCAACTTGCTCTCTTGGACTCTCAGAACTCTTGCTAGTCCTTTGACCTTTTCTTAACATTTCTAGAGAGTTCTACCTCTCAACATTTGCCAAAAAAAATGTTTACCCCAGTAGCTAAATATCAGCATAATTTAATCCTAGCCGAATGGTTTGCTGTATAAGAAATAATTTAGAAACATTCTCATTTATTAACCTCAGTGATGCAAATGCAGGTGGCAGCTGGATGTGATTCTAGAGCCTAGATGCCAGCAAGGAAGTAGGCAAAAATAGCTACCATGAAGCTTGTGCAGTGAAGCTTATCTAGGTGGATCTGAGCAATTTTTAAGGATAATATTTAATTTACACAATTTTTTAAAACACTTTGGCTATTTGATCACGTAAATGCATTATAGGGCAATGATTTGAGGTCTTAAAGTTTATGTAATGGGATATTTCTGTGCATAATCGCTTTTTGCTTCATTTCTTAAAAATCTGACAAACATAGTCCTACCTTCCCCCTCTTCAACCCTGTGCAAATCTTCTAAGGATTTAGGAATTACAGCCACTTTCGGAGTTTATGTGATGATGAGGGGCTTTCACTATTTGGAGCCACTGTGCTGAGGAAGCGTCTGCCCTGCTAGACAGAGTGGCGTCACACATGGCCTCGCCTTTTGCTTCTTTTCCTCTGATATGCTCACCAATAAAGGGGGCACCTTCGGGAGGAATGAGGAATGCACAGGCTCCAGCTGATGAACGTGCCTCTCCAAGATTATGCAGCTGTTTCTATATCGCTAAGGGAGAGGGAGTCAAGATGATGGTCTGGGCAAGTGGTTCTCAAACCTCAGTGGTCTATAGATCGCTTGAGGAGCCTGTATACATGCAGATTCTTTATCTCCAGAGACTGATTCTAACTCTGGGGTTGGGCCTGAAAAATCATTTCGTTAACAAACCCCAAGTAGTTGGTTCTGATATAGGTGGTCAGTGGACCACATTTTGTAAATGACACTTTAATTCTCCCAGTAGCTGCCAGCCCAGGAGATGTAGAAACAGGTTGCAGCTGGGGAAGGCTCTGGAATTAGATGATATTGGGCAGCTTGGAGGAAGGATTTGGTTGCATTTACTTGGATGGATTTCCAACATTCGGATTCAAAGAAGAGATTCAAGTCCAAAGTCTACCTCAAGTCCTCAAACGCTCTCTACACACAAGGATTCCTCATTGCCTTCTTAGTCAGACTCCAATAGTCCCAGTTGGGATATTAAACAGAAAACAGGTAATTCTGCAATCTAAAAGGAAAACCCTACGAGTAATCAGAAGAATGCTTTGGCTTTCAGTAAGACAAGAAAACTACGAACCAATAAGAATGAACGCCATGGCTATAACGAAAGTAAGAAAGTATCCTCTCAGGGGTTCGTTGTTTTTCCCATATCCCTTTGCAAAGAACTGCAAGGCTTTGTAGATGTTGTCCTTGCACAGAGCCTAATGGAAAAGAAGGGGAGAAATTCGTCATTTAGATCTATGCACAGTCATTTTCCCTAGGTGATTCAAACAAGAAGATTTGGAGAAAGATGAAGCGATACACAATACGGGCACAAGTTAACACTGCAGTTTATCATTCTTTATATTATTTGAATCGATCTTGACTATGTGGCAGACAGCATTTGAGCCAGATGCAAACGTTAAACTGTTTCAGAAAATGATGGAAAATGATGGCTGGTGAGAATGAGTATTTCAGCTTGATCACGTTCAATGGGAACAGACATAGGGGGAAGCACGTGCTCTTGGCCTCTATCACCTGGAACACTTTGGGCGCGCTGACGAGGGAGGCCAGGGCTGAGGAGAGCGTTGCAGAAAAGATGCCAGCTGTGATGAGGGGGCCGAACCCTGACACCATGCTCATGACCTTGAGAAAAGACGCACCAGTAAGGAGACTCATCCAACACACAATTAAAAAACAGACAGACAAACCAAGCCAAAATCTTAACGCAAACGCTTCCCCTTCCACTTTCTGTGATTTGGAATCTCCATTATAAGCCAATTGCTTCTAAACAGATTTCCGCACCCCTGCCCCCACCGCTTAACGCTCAAGTTCTTAATATTTGTTTTTTCAAAATGGAAATGGCCATTTTGTTGTCATTTTTTTATGAAAACAGGAAATGCTCACCATAATACATCCAGAAGATACTGGAAAGAATAAAGAAGGAAATGGTTTCAAGGACTTGGACAACATTTCCCCCCGTTCTTTGTGGGCATGTTTCTTTGACAATGGGAAACTCTATGGAGCAGAAAGTGGTGTTTTAATAAGGTTTGGGGAGGGCTCAGCTCTGTACCGGTCTTTTGAAAAGCTTTTGCTTCTCTTGTTCTTCCTGCACACAGAGGCTTTTCAAACCTTTGCTTTCTCTGTGTTCATTAAATATAATTTTAGATCTGAGACATGATGAGATTCTATCAATTTAAATCATATTTTGGAATAATGACTTCGGCTGAGTTAATTCCTCTTTGTTGGTTGTTAAAATAGATGAATGAAGCCTTCATGACAAATTGGCCTCTCCCTCCATCCACCAATCATTCAGACACAGTTTCCCCAACTTCCCTTGTTCCATCCCCCTCATTTACCTCCCCTTCTGCCACTCACAATTTCCCTCTTGGCCTTGTCCTCCAGGCACTCGAGGACCATGTCAGGGGCTTTCCCGAAACAGAGATCCATGCACGAAGTACAGTCCACATATGAACTATCTAAGTCTCTCCTTCTCCCCATCACGAAATCTTGCACCATTGATTGGAAGATGCCGTATATCAGGCAGCAATCTTCCCTGGTGATGCAATTCATGCAACTGCCTGCTATCTCCCCACCATAGGAAATGAAACCACAGGATTTGCCGCCTAATGTCTACAGGGTTCCCCTCCCTCACACATGAATTGTTCTGTGCTGAATTCAAATGGACCACTAATCAATCAGTTGCAAACTCAGAAGTTTCATTATACTACATGTGACATTCTACAAATGAAAACAATAGCAATAAACATTTTTTTTTCCCTCTTCAAACCTGGAAATTGTTCATTAGCCCATATTGACATGGTTCATGTCGACATCTTGAGAAGTCGTAGCCCAACCCACAGGCTGCTGAACCATTGCAGTTCATCCCAGAAATGATGGTGTCATTCATGCTTCCAGTGGCATCTCGGACCACACAGGCCCCTGGGGAAACAAGCGTGGCTCATCAGTTCTTTATAAGGGTTCTGCTCCCATAGGATTTTCTCCCAAAAACATAGTTTAATTTGAGTTGGTGCAGGTCCACTGCCATCCTCTCTTGTCATCCTGGGGACAGGGTACCTGGAGGTTCCCAACCTCAGAGACTCGAGAGCGCTCCCTGACTCTGACTGTCTGCCACTTCTACTGCCTTGGGGGGTTTAGGTCCAAGCTCTCACCTACATTTGCAAGATACTTAGGGTTTGGAACTCTCTTTCTGAAATGCACATGGCAGTGCTTTACACATAATATTAAATTCATATTTCTAGCTTGGTGCTACTGACTAGGTGTTTTTCAGGTAGAACAATTTATTTCCTCATCTGTGAGAGAACTAAGGGATGGCATTTTCGAATTCTGGTAATTAAGAGAACTGAGACCTTGTTTTCAACTGATGATAGTGCATAATTTTTTAAACTGTTAGAATTCTACTTTATATAGAATTTTAAAGGTTTAAATAATAAAAAAAAATGTTTGGGGATAAAATATTGAGATTTCCTTAGTAATATTAATGGTCAAAAAATATTCTATCAAGTGTCCGTTTAGTCCATTACATTTATCCATTTTGCTATTTTTGTTATTGAAGTTATAAACATTCTACGATGAACATCTTTGTGCACAATTTTTTTCTTCTCTATTTCAAAATATTTCTGTAGGATAGATCCCTAGATCAAAAAGTTATGAACTTTTTGAAGATCCTTGATATATATATTTTTACTAACTATCCATAGGAATTTTATAATTATAATCTCTGCCACTATGTATTTGATAGGATTATGGAGGTATATGAATATATGTGAGAAATATGTAGAAACGTTTCTGAACTACCGAACTAGGATGAATATTTTACTAACTAAATCCCAAGCAGTAAAACTATTTTGCTCTTCAAACTCCAGCTGGTATGAGTTTTCATGCCTTGCTAATAACTTTAAGAGAGGTCCCAGTGACAGGTACTAATGGGAACCCTTAATTCCCTTAATTTTATCCATGGAATTCATATCCTGTTAATCTGTGAAAGACTTAGAAACAACAGGATCTTCGAGTTGAAATAATCAGTGCAGGAATCCTATTTACATAGCTCTGAGGGTTGGCCTCCTAGCCTCTGCTTAAACAGTTGAAATTATGAATGTTGCTTACCAGGCAAAACCATCTGTTCCAGATTTTACCTTTTTACATTGTTAATTTTTGTTGAGCTGACTTTTTGGGTATCATACTTTTTGACTTCTGCACAATACAACTCCCTAAATTTCCATGAAGCCAAGCCATGAGCCAAAATTTGCACTAATGACAGGCCAAGGACCCCAAGACTATCCTCTTTTCCAGGGAAAAGTATAGAAATGGAATCTTCTCCCAGGCAAAAACTGGAAGAATCTCTGAAATGAGGTCTATAACTTTACTCATTCCTTCATTTTTACATTGTGTGAGCTAGCAAACCATTTGGGAAATTTAACTTAAGGTGATTTCAATGTCATTTAAAAATATGTCAATTTTATAAGTATTGGAATAAAATCTCTCTACATGTAACTAAACTTGGAAGTGCCAAGCAACATACCTAACATTATCCAATTTCCTCAAATAAGAGACAGTGAAAGAAGCGAGAGTCTCAGTTAACTGTTTTGCTTTTCTCTCCAGAAACCAATGTAAGATAAATGCACTTCCCTGATTTCCTTTAAGCAGACAATTGGGATGTGCCCTTCAGTAAAATGGTCATTCGGGCTTCCGCAGTGGGGATCTATATTCCCTAGTGTGCACAGAAAAGGGTTTTCTTCTCTGAATGTTCCACATTTCTTCTTCTCCTAATGTTCCACATTTCTTCTTCTCCTCCTACGGGATAAGCGTGAGGTGACCCCCAGCCAGGAGGAGGCGTGGCTACGGCAGCAGGTGGAACGAAAGTCAGCCTAGAAACAGCAGGTGCATCCACATATTTTCTGCTTAGTGAGCAATGTGGGGGCTGACCACCCACACGGCTGGCAGCTGGATCTTGTTCTGATTTCCTGCCAACTGGTGACAGTGACATTTCCATATTAGGGACAGTAGTGCCAGGAGGAGATACAACCATCAATTCTATATCTTTCATACATTCTTCAGGCTTTTCTTTTTGTTTTTGTCTCGTTTTGTTCCTGGCTGCATTTCTCTTCCTCATTTCTCACCTGCGTCCCAGGGCAAGGGAAGTGGATGCTGGGAGTGGTGGCTTCTTTGACGGTGGGATTATCACCTAGACTAGCTACATGGGATTCTCTTTGTGTTCAGGGAGAATAACAATCTGATTAACTCTACCCTAAACCTGACCCAGAGGCTCCTGTATTACAGCTTAATTATATTCAAACTCCTAAAGCGCCCAGGAGGGGAATTTAAAATGTTGTCTTTTAGAAAAAAACTTTCTACTTATGATCCCCTGAAAGCCCACTGGACATGTATGACCAGACTCCTTGTAATTCTGGCATTTGGACACCAGAGACATACAACTTACCTACACAAATAGCAACTCCTATGTAGGCAACAGTGGTGATGAAAATGGCCAGCATGGTTCCTCTGGGGATGGCGTCTTGGGGATCCTTTGGAGAAACAACATGGTGGGATGAAGAGACAGGGTGCAGTAAGAAACAGAAATAACTCGGAGTTATTACCGTATTTCCAATGTTTAGGCTACCCTTCCTGAGGCAGGTTTGAAAGAAAAGATAAGCAAATGGCAAAGTGGTGAGCCTGAGTTCTTTGTCGACAAAGAACAGGTGTTGAGGTGAAAAAAGAAATGTCTAGAATTTTGTGCTGAATAGATCTCTAACTGTTCAGGACAGAGGTTTTGTTTTGTTTTGTTTTGTTTTTTTAAGATTTTATTTATTTGACAGAGAGAGATCATAAGTGGGCAGAGAGGCAAGCAGAGAGAGAGAGGGGAGGAAGGAGGCTCCCTGAGGAGCAGAGAGCCCGATGCGGGACTCGATCCCAGGACCCTGAGATCATGACCTGAGCTGAAGGCAGAGGCTTAACCCACTGAGCCACCCAGGTGCCCCCAGGACAGAGTTTTTATAGAAAAGTAGACCAGTTAGCTCACTCATTAATGCATCTCCCTCCCCTTTATCTCCTGTGAATTTCATGCAGATATGTCAAACCTTAAAGTATTAGGGGAAAGACACAAACACACTCCGCACATTGATGTACCTTGACAGTATCTGTATATGGGTATTAGTTTTGTACGAAGGTTAGGCTTGCCTTAAAAAAACAAAACAAAACAAAACAAAAAAAACACCAAAACAACAACAACAACAAAAAACCTTGAAGCAAAAAGGATGATCTGCTAAGTTCTCCAATCCCTCAAATTTCCCATTTGGAATCTAGTTCAGGAATCACTGCAATGGGAGATATTTCATTTCCATAAGCAGGCATAAAGAAAGAGGCAAATTTAAGCTTATGCCAGAAAATGGGCTTTTCTTTTGCTTATGCATGTATATAAATTTACTGGACTGAGCTCATATCATATGTAACATACCATTTTATATCCTATTTTGGGAGCTAAATCATAGCATAATCAATTTCCAAGCAGCATAACTTCTAAATAATTGAATTCATCTTAACAGGGATTATTTTTTTAACAGGAATTATTAAATAGAGATTTCAGTGTATTCTTGCTTGTAGAAGACAGTGCCTGGCATATAGTAGGAGTCGATAAATATTGAATTGAAGGAGGCACTATCTCAGTAGATATTAGTTCCCCACCAGATGATCTGAGATGTAGTACTACAAATATGCAATAAATGCAGTCAAAGTTCGAGCTTTTCTGTTTTTGTTTTTAACTTAAATCTGCTGATCAAAATCCATCAGACAGACCAACTTACAGTAAATTTCCAAACTGACACCTGGAAATAACTCTACCAGTGAATTTGCCTTTAATGAGACTAAGTCAGCTCTGTGGATCCACTCTGAATATTGATCCCTTCCCGCTCTTTTAGGAATGTTTGCACAGAGGCATGGTTCTGCTGCATATATACCTAGCCTCCTCCTTCCAAACTGTTGTCTACAAAAGTGATTTTGGGCCAACAGGTGCAGGGGAACAGCATGCCAAAGGAAGAAGAAGGTAATTAATTGTGGCTGAAATGAGCCCCACTCAATCTTCCAATTCATGCTGTGTTTCAAGTTTTGTTTTATTAACTATTTCTTGTGATCTGAGTGGAAGGGAAGATTAAATTAAATGGGAAGAAAGGAGATATAGATACAGATATAGATATATGAGGTGTGAAGGTGGAAGGCAGTCATGTACCTCAAACATGAAAACTTAGTCTTCATGTAGAACTACCTGCTACAAACTCCGAAATTACTTACTTAGAATTTACCTAAGTGTCAGACTTGACCCAATATAAATTAGGATGTCAGTATCTCAATATATGATCATATATTCACACTGTCTGCTCTGGCTCCCTTTCCCCTAAACAGAGACCAGGACTTCAACAAATTCTTCGTTTTCACTCTAAATGTTAGTTTCCATCTCCCCAGCTGTAACCTAAAAAATCTAGCCTTCCTTCGCCTTTCTTCATGAGATGTTATATTTTTTTCTTAAGACAGAATATACAATCTACTAGATAACTGTTTCCTGAGGGTCAACCACTTCCTAAACTTACATTTTGCACATGATCCTGTTCTTGCTTCTCATGACTTAGAGTAAGTCTGTCTTCACCTTAGACCATGAACAGCTTGGAGGACTGAGTGCTTCTTTGCTTCCCTAGTGCCTAGCGACATGTTGGCTGAGCTGAACCGATGACTTGTTTCTAAGGAAAGTGTAATATTCTTTCATTTAAATGTGTGCTTAGGGGCTCCTGGGTGGCTCAGTGGGTTGAGCCACTGCCTTCGGCTCAGGTCATGATCTCAGGCATTTCTGCATAGGGCTTTCTGCTCAGCAGGGAGCCTGCTTCCCTCTCTCTCTCTCTCTGCCTGCTTCTCTGCCTACTTGTAATCTCTCTGTGTCAAATAAATAAATAAAATCTTAAATGTGTGCTTACAGTTTGTAGAATTTTATTTTAATTAATTAATTAATTAATTTTTAGAAAATATTTTATTTATTTATTTGTTAGAGAGAGAGGCAGGCAGAGGGAGAAGCAGGCTCCCTGTTGAGCAAGGAGCTCAATGTGGGACCCAATCCCAGGACTCTGGGATCATGACCCCAGCGGAAGGCAGATGCTTAATGACTGAGCCACCCAGGAGTCCCTGCAGAATTTTAGATCAGTGACCTCTGATACTTTCCCAAATCTGAGAACATCAGCTCCATATACATAGCTAAATTTCATTAAGCAGTGATATTTAACTACTAGAATCATTTTGAACAAGTTACTTACTTTCCTGAGCTTCCACATAATCTAATTTATGCCATATCTCAGCTCAAGAATTTACCATAGCACTGTGGTCCCTAATATGACAAATCGAAATGCCTTTATTCATTCACTAAATAAATATTTACTGAAATCTTCCTAACTCTGAGGAGGCAACAATGAGTATAACCAAAAGCAAGGTCCCCACTCTCACGGGCTTACATTCCAGGGTAAGCACCTCTTGCTCCGGTCCCACCAATGGCGATTTCCCCTTGTATTATGAGGTCATCCAGCCTCGTCAGGACTTCTCCAATTAAATTGTGAGGGATCCCTTACTATTTCCCAAATCCCCATGCCTAAACTCTTCTCTAGTCTTCTCTACCTGGAATACACTTATATTTTCTCACCAACAGTCAGTATTGAGCTTTTGCTCTAAGTTCACACTTCAAAGTAACATCATCCTGGCTTTAACAATTACCTGTATCTTATGTTTATCTCACAACTTATTTAAACAGTACGTATGATTTTCATTTATACATGTCTCTTCACTGCTCTTACAAATATTTCTTGTCTTCCAAAGTTGATTATAAGTGTATTGAGGTAAAACCTGTGTCTTCTTTTGTGTATATGGTAGGGACTATTTACTGTCCCGTAATAATCATTCTCACCCTCCTCCTTTTAACATAAGAACTCCCTAAAATTCTAGTCACATGGCTGCCCAGTTAGAGACTACATTTCCCAGCCTTCTTTGCAACTAGGCAAGGTCACAGAGATTAAATTCTGGCCAATGGAATGTCAGCAGAAGTAATATATGCAAGATTCAGGAATTGCTTGCCCTCTATTCCTTACTCCTCTTCCTGTGGGCTGGAACATGATCTTGGAATTGACCAGTCATCTTTGCAGGTGAGGGCAAACCATAAGGGAGTGGTAAATCAAGGGAGGTCATCTGGGATCCTGGTCTACTGTTTGGAACAGACTTTTCTTATTCGACTCCATGGCCTATGAGCTCAGATTTTTATCCACTAGAAAAATAAACTATCTTGTTTAGGCCAGTACTACTAGTCTTTTATAAAACATTCAAACCAATATTCTAACAGTGCTCATTACAGTACTTAACATAAACTAATATGAATGCAGTGCTAAATAAATACCATTTAAATGAGTGAATATATCTCTGAATGTAATGTCATAAAAATTCACTAATAAAGTGATTTTGAAGGGGGAGTGGGGAGGGTGTCTTTGTTTTGTTTTGTTTTGTTTTCCCTGAATGTTATGTGCTTTTGTTCCTTAGGTGTTTAAAAGAGAAAGGTTGGTTCTAATATTTTTTTTCATTGGGATATATTCATTTTGTTGGAAATGTTACACACTTCCCAATATTCTCTACCCTTCCGATATCACTGAATAAGTCCATCCAAAAGGATGGACTATCAGAAATAGGATGGTCTGGCATTAAAAATTTTGGCATTAAAAGAGAGAACTTTTAAATTACTGGGGACCCTTACAGAAATTTTGGTTTTAACATCGATAGAGAATTATGGTTACTGTTGACTTCTATAGCTCACGCTGCTCACAAACGGCACCACCACTTCCCAGGATTACAAAAGCAGAGGAAAACGACATACCTCTAAGTCTCCTGAGATATTGGCACCAGCAAGAATTCCAGTAGCTGCTGGGAAAAAAATGGCAAAGACAGAGAAGAAGCCTTCCCCTTTTGTGAAGCTTGGCCCAAAGTTTTCCGCAAATATTGACGCTGCAACACAAATAATGAGAACATTATCTTGTAGACTTTCTTTACAGAAAAGGAGATAGAGTTTCCTTTAGCTTCTATCAATGTATCATGCAAATGGGTCCCTATATTCTAAATGGGATGAATCTGAAGATGTTGCTTTACTCCTGATGAACCTCATGTTAGTATTTGCCAAGAGTCAGTATATGTATCGCAAGGTTTTAGATTTCTAGGATATAACTCTGAAAACTTTTTTGTGCCAACAGAGACCCAGGCCTCCAGATATTTTTGAATCTAGAAGACTGAAAAAGAGGCAAGTGGAGAATTTTTCTCATGACCATGCTGTCATAATCACAAGTATACCACACATGTACACTGCCTTATACGTACACAACTCATTTCTTACGTGCATAAATATTCTAACCAAACACAACTTTTCTATGCTTTTTTTTTTTTTTAAATTGTAGGGGGGGTGAAACTATCTTAAAATTTTGCTACTTATGTTCTAACCTTCCCACTCCTTGCTCCCAGAGATTAGATCTTAAATTCTATGTCAAATTTTCATATGTAGGAGAATGATAGTAGCAAGGAACTTTATTCATAAAATAATACCATCCCATAGGGGTCTCAACAAATTACTTAAATGAGAAGGGAAAAATGCAGAAGAAAAACAGAAAAGAAGGGAAGAAAAACACAAACAAAAGATCTAGGATGATGCAGAAACAAGGAAAAAAATTAAGTCATGAGAAAAAGTACAGCAGGAGCTAGAAGGAGGGAAAAGAATAGAAAGGAAAAGGATGTTAATATGCAAAAAAAAAAACAAGACAAACTTTAAAAAGAAAAAGAATCAGGAAGAAAGAGGTGATCTGATACCAAAAGGAAACACACTAGTGACTGAATAAATGATGAATGGAAATATTTTTTAAATCTCAGCAGTGGATTCTTGAGCAAGCTAGAGTGGAAAGCTAGGAAGGTGTACAGAGGTGGAGGAGAATTTCATGCTTTGTGACATCCCCCCAGGATGTTGTGCCAACTCCTACAATATTTTGTGCTTGCAAACCTGACAGTGATGCTTAACTAGGTAATGCTATAGATAAGCAAGGTGCAAAAAAGTTCAGCAGGGGGGCACCTGGCTGGCTCAGTAGGTGGAGCGTACAACTCTTGATCTCAGGTTGTGAGTTCCAGCCCCACAATGGGTATAAAGATTGCTTAAAAATAAAATCTTAAAAAAAAAAAAAAGTCTAGCAGGAAAATGATTATGTTATTATTAGTGTTCTCAGGGGTTGAACAAACTGTCTGAACTATGTTCTCTTTCCTTGCATATACAACTCTATTTCTTCTACTTAATGGCAACAACAATTTTTTTTTGAAAAATTTTTTAAATTTCTTTTTAGCGTAACAGTATTCATTGTTTTTGCACCACACCCAGTGTGTCCTCTCTAATACCCACCACCTGGTTCCTCCAGCCTCCCAGCCTCCGCCCCTTCAAAACCCTCAGATTGTTTTTCAGAGTCCATAGTCTCTCATGGTTCACCTCCCCTTCCAATTTCCCTCAACTCCCTTCTCCTTTCCATCTACCCTTGTCCTCCATGCTATTTGTTATGCTCCACAAATAAGTGAAACCATATGATAATTGACTCTCTCTGCTTGACTTATTTCACTCAGCATAATCTCTTCCAGTCCCTTCCATGTTGCTACAAAAGTTGGGTATTCATCCTTTCTGATGGAGGCATAATACTCCATAGTGTATATGGACCACATCTTCCTTACCCATTCGTCCATTGAAGGGCATCTTGGTTCTTTCCACAGTTTGGCAACCGTGGCCATTGCTGCTATAAACGTTGAGGTACAGATGGCCCTTCTTTTCACTACATCTGTATCTTTGGGGTAAATCCCCAGTAGTGCAATTTCAGGGTCATAGGGAAGCTCTATTTTTAATTTCTTGAGGAATCTCCACACCGTTTTCCAAAGTGGCTGCACCAACTTGCATTCCCACCAACAGTGTGAGAGGGTTCCCCTTTCTCCACATCCCCTCCAACACATGTTGTTTCCTCTCTTGCTAATTTTGGCCATTCTAACTGGTGTAAGGTGGTATCTCAATGTGGTTTTAAGATGGCAACAACAATTTGTCCCATACTTGAAGGTTTTCAAAGCACTTTTGCATCCACTATCTTATTGACTTCTCAAAAATCCCCTCAGGAAGTTGCTATTACTCACACTACCTCAGGGAAATTTGAACCTCAAACGTGTTCGGTGACCAGTCTCGCTGGCAAGCAGTAGGATTGAGACTCACTCTGGATCTCCTGAGTCTAACTAACCCCAGGCTCCTCTCTGGATCACACTGGGATTCTACTGGCTGATGTGGGGATTACAAGGGTAGATGGATGGAGGCAGGCAGTGGGGAACTATTGATTACAAAGCAACTCATTTGTAACATGTACCTTGGTAATTAAAGAAACCTCTGGACTTCTTCTCATTGTTGGACGGAATAACGGTTCCAATGAAGAAGTTTGCAATAGCAATGAGGAGAATGACCAGGAGTATCACCTGAGCCTAGAATGGTAAAGTGAAAGGAGGCCAGCTTAGAATGAACAACTTTTTATACAGTTATAAAAGTCATGTCCACAGAAAGTCCACTGGACAAAGACTCTATGTGGTTATTTTGATTAGAACTACTATCCAGAGTCGGTAATAGTGTTATCCTACAGAATGGCATCTTAACAAGACTTATCTGACCTGAGTGTGGAAGTTACATTTTCAATGGCGGCATGTGCTTGGGCACTTGAAGGTGACATTTCAAAAATGTTCCAAGTACTATGTGAGTAACTTACTGCAGTGCTCAGGATTATAAATGGAGCCCAGAGTTTTACCACTGATAGCGTATTTCTTTTCTAGGCAGAGTGCCTATGGATTCTTTCCTTCCCCGGTGCTAAATGCAACACAAGTTGCATTAATAACACACAATTCATAAAGTTCTGAGATGCCTTGTACACTTGATGTCAGACCACCCGTGTGTGCCTAGCACAAGTGGTTTGCAAGGTTGACCAACTGAATTGTCTTTCTTTGTCCCCCTTCTCTCCCTGCTGACATTTCAAGGGTCTATTGGCTTGGCATTCCTATATGCCATTCCCTCTGTAAGGAATACACTTCTCCCTATGCTTTGTGTAACTGTTTCCTTCTTCTCATCCTTCAAGTCTTAGTTACTTCCCCTGAGAGGACTTTCTTGACTGCTAAATCTAAATAATAACAGCTAACATTCACGGAGGGCTTACAATAACAGACAGATTTCACTTTATCAGTATTTTTTAGATAAATAGTACCACCAATAACTGTATGAAGTAGGTGAAATAGTTATCATCATTTAAAAGGTAAAGACCCTGAGGTACAGAGAGGTTAAGCACCTTCTCAAGGTCATACCTTATAAGGTCACACAATATAAACCAGTTTCAAATCTAGGTGCTGTGGCAAAAAAGCCAGAGCTATAAACCTACCCTCTATCACCATGAAACTACATTGCCTCCCTCAGGGAACAAAGTCATTGTAAGTAGATACCGTACGTTTTCCATCTTAGTACCCTGTTTATTTAAAACTATGTTCACAATTTACCATTCTATATTTACTTGTTTATCTACTTGATCATTACTCATATGTTCACAATTTACCATTCTATATTTACTTGTTTATCTACTTGATCATTACTCATATCCCCACTGACCATATGCTCAACTAGGGCCAGGATTGTGGCTGTTTGGGTCACCACTGAATATCCAGTACCTAGCAGAATGCCCAGCACCTAATAATCACTGAATTAATTTTGGTTTGATATGTGAATACATAATCCACAAACAAATGTTGTATAGGAATGCTTCTTATTGCCTTATGAAGGTGGGTGGGTTTGGCCACTTTTCAATCTCTGGAAATCTCTTGAAGTCTAGGTACGGTATCTCCAGGGACTTAAGACCAGTTACAATTATATCAGTCACTGGAGAGTTATAAATCAGACAAAAGACATGCTCCTATCATTCAGAAATTTACTGTATTACTACTAGTTAAATCCAGTTAGTGTCTAGTTCCAGGACTTACTCCTAAAATACTGTATCTCGGAGGAGAATGATAGCTGCTGCCTCTATGCCCTTCTCCCATCACATGTGAGAGAAGCCCATTTCCGTTGGGCCTCAGCACCCACAGTCAGCTGGAAAATGACACCAGGGGTGGGACTGGGAGACACAGGCTTTCAGCATGGACTGTTGTTACCATCATAAGGGGCCTGGAATGTGAAGATGGCAACAACAGTGGTGTCTCTGTCAAGGTGATGACAGCACAAAGAAGGACAAAGGGCACGCCTGATCACGTGACACAGGAGTGGGAAGTCATGACTGCCTGGACCTTGTGTGTTTGGAGGGCTTGGATTTCCCTCCTGTGCTAACCTGCAGCTTCTGCCAAAGCAAGTAATAATAACAATTCTTTTTGAATATGGGGTTTGTTCTATTCCTGCAATTTGGTCAAGACCTCAGCAGCAGTGGTTGATAACATCATTTTGAGAAAATCACCTTTGCTTCCCATTCCATTCCAGCTACTGAAATTCCTAAGAGAATCACCACTGTGATGGAGCCTATTATCCGGATGTCATTGGTGGGATCCACCATCATTGAATTGCTCTCCTGGAACAGAAACAGAATTCATGAAAATGGTTACAGATGGAGGTGTTTTTTTGTTTTGTTTTTTTGCCTGTATGTCATATTGTAGAATTGAATAGTAAGAAGAAATACTATGCACTAACGACCACATAGGATCATGGAAAAACAAGCTGTTCCTAAATCAGAGATTAACATTATTTTGTCCTGTAATAATAGGCCATTGATAGCCAAGGTTGGAAGTTGGAAATTCTAGATGCTCATTCTCGTCACAGCTTCTAAAGCTATTGCAGCACTGAGATAAGTATGGGCACATGTAAACATATGGTTTTGTTTCAGAAGAATGACTACTTTCGTGTCTCAAGGGGAATCTTAGAGAAATAAAAATGAGTGATTTTCAAAGTGAATATTGGAAAATAAGCGTTATTCAATTAAATAACAAACTCCATAAGCCAGATAACACATTTCTTGAAGATCACATAACTTATGAACTGTATAATCCACCCATTTACTCATCTAATTTTCAAATAAAGGTACTGCTACTAATTGAATTCAGCGAATGCTATCACTACCATGAAAGAACTAGAAATTAGTTCACCTACCAGCTGGTTAACACTCTCAAAGACAGACCGACTAGATGATGTACTTAAACTAGGAAATGCTTAGTTTTCTGCAGTGAGTTGTTCCAATGTTTGAACTGTCTTTCATTTGGAAATCGATACCCATGGTAGTAATATTGCTGCTGATAAATAACAGCATCCAGTATTTATCTTTTGTTTCATGTTTTACACAGTGTTTCATGTATATTATCTGTACTGTACCACATTTCTATGAAATCTATAGAACCGTATTATTAACCTATATGATAGATTTGAGAAATAATGTTCAGATGCATGGAGGGACTGGCCCTCTCTCTGAGAATCTCTCAGCTGATCAATATGAGAGCCAGGATTTCAAGCCAGTTCTGATGCCAAGCCTAAAGCTCCTTCAACTATATCCAACTTCTGCCTTCTACAGAATAAATCCATTTCCTCTCATCCTGCCATAATGATATCCCCTAGTGCCCTGAAAAGGCAAATTGAACTGAATTATCTTACGTGGCTGAAGAAAAAAAAAAAACTTTTAATTACCTTAAGAAGTTCTACCACTGTTTCAGCAAATCCCACCACATACATGGCAACAGCCACGGCATTGGCAAAAGCAAAGATCAAGCCTATAGACCCACCGAACTCGGGCCCTAAGCTTCTGGAAATAAGATAGTAGGCCCCACCTAAAACAAAAAATGAACATGCTTTACTCTGAGGAACTGCTAAGGGATTTAGTTTCTATGACCAAATAATTTTGAATAATTTTTAAAAGATTTTATTTATTTATTTGACAGACAGATCACAAGTAGGTGGGGGAGGGGCAGTAAGCAGGCTCCCTGCTGAGCAGACAGTCCAATGTGGGGCTCCATCCCAGGACCCTGGGATCATGACCTGAGCCGAAGGCAGAGGCTTAACCCACTGAGCCACCCAGGTGCCCCAATTTTGAATAGTTTTTATTCTGATTAAAAATTGCAACTTCCCAAGGATATTGAGAATCTTGTATCACTTTAATGAAAAAGTTAGCCATCTTTTCTTTGTACTCTGAGAACTATAATAGAACACAGTATAATTATCCTGATTTAGTAAGTTCTGATTTACCAAAAGCCAACTGTATTCAAATTGTATACAAATAAGACTACAGCAAACTTTACTAAAACAAAATGCCATGCCTTCTTAAAAAAATTCATTGGTGAGTTCAAATCAATAATGTAACCAAAGTAAATTTTTATATTTGAAATTTCCAGGAGCAGGCAGGCCTAGGCAGAAAATGATGTAGGTGAAGTTTATCATTGCTGTTCTAACTTCCTTACTGGTGTACTTTTCTTATATGTATTTGCTGCATTGAAAGGTGTCTGTTTATAGGTCACCTGGGTGGTACTGTTGATTGAGCACCGACTCTTGGTTTTGCCTCAGGTCTTGGTCTCAGGGTGGTGGAATTGAACCCAATGTTGGGCTCTGCTCTCAGCTCAGAGTCTGCTAAAATTTCTCTCTCCCTCTGCTCCTCTGCCATGAAATAAGTAAATTAATCTTTAAAAAGGGGGGTGGGTATCTGATTATCCACTCTATAAATTGGAATTAGTTCTCTATGTTTTTAGCTCAAGAAGGCATGATTATTGCCAAATACCCATATGTGTAAGGGGGTGGCAAAAAGGAAGAAAGGTAGGTTTGGAACAATTGCTTCTCCTTTGGACCTTGAAAAGATCATTCGATATGTGTCTATGAACTTCTTTCTGTACGCATGAAAGACTGAGCTGCCCTGGTAACTCCTAGAGGGTAGTGAGAACAGGTAAAAAAAAGACTAGGTGTTGATAGGCCTAGGTAGCTAGAAGCTCTGACAGACTGTAGGAAACTAATGACTTCCTATACTGAGCTAGTCTTGGAGGTGGGCAGAATTGGCAGGGGAAAGACACTGAGGGGCGCCTGGGTGGCTCAGGTCTGCCTTAAGCGTCTGCCTTCGGCTCAGGTCATGATCCCAGTATTCTGGGATGGAACCCTACATCGGGCTCCCTGCTCCACAGTAAACCTGCTTTCCCTCTCCTCGTCCCCTGCTTGTGTTCCCTCTCTTGCTGTGTCTCTCTGTCAAATAAATACATAAAATCTTAACCAAAAAAAAAAAAAAAGGAAAGACAGACAGACGCTGGACAAATATATCTTAAAACAAAACAAAAACCTATCTTTTTTTTTTTAATTTATTTATTTGACAGACAGAGATCACAAGTAGGCAGAGAGGTGGGGGGTGGGTGCTGGGGAAGTAGGCTCCCTGCTGAGCAGATAGCCGATGCAGGCTCTATCCCAGCACTCTGGGATCATGACCTGAGCCAAAGGCAGAGGCTTTAACCCACTGAGCCACCCAGGCGCCCCCAAAAACCTATCTTTTTTTTTTTTTTTAAAGATTTTATTTATTTATTTGACAGAGGGAGAGAGATCACAAGTAGGCAGAGCAGCAGGCAAAGGGAGAGAGGAGGAAGCAGGCTCCCTGCTGAGCAGAGAGCCTGATGTGGGGCTCAATCCCAGGACCCTGAGATCATGACCTGGGCTGAAGGCAGAGGCTTAACCCACTGAGCCACGCAGGCGCCCCAAAAAACCTATCTTTTAAGGAAAAGGAATTTCCTCCACTGTAGTAACTCCTTTGGTTTAAAGGGTCAAAGCTCTCTTTGGAAATATAACCAATTATCTGGGTGGAGTGAATCACCTCCTTTGTCTAGAGGTCGTTAAATAAATTAGCTATCCAGTTACTTTGGCTTGGTCAAAAGGAGAGAGAGGGGCAGGGGAAGCTGTGAGTGGGGGTGTGTTTGTGGGAGGGAGGGTGCTCTTAAAAGGCCCTGGGCAGGGAAACCTGGATAAGGTCCCCCAGTTGCAGCCCCAGGAGCCAAATAGAATGGGAGGGGGAAGACAGGAATTAGAAGCAATGATAAACCTCGCCCTCTTCATTTTAGGCCTAGGCCTACACCTTATTCCTGGATGATTTAAAGGTAACTCTTTGTTCTGTTTAGTTCTTTCTCTTTTCTTCTGAAGGATCTTTTCAGGCCTGGGGGTCACTGGGCATGTTCTGTTGGGGAGAACTCAGGGCTTACTAAACCGGGAGTGTCGGCTGGGGTGCTGAGTAGGCCTGGGAGAGGGCCAGCCGGGCCCAGCTAAGGCACAAAGAAACCATGTATTTTACTGTAATTCTTTATGCCTTCTTTCTAGACACCTAGTCACTCTCTATAAACATGTTTAATCACAGGAAACGGGTCAAAGAAAACCTTCTGGAGATCTCTTAATTTTAGTTGAGAGAATTTTGCCTTGATGTTTACATTTGGGTTAGTTCATTTTACTTTAAAACTTTGGGGACTAATTATGAATATGAAAATTTTACTTCCAACATTAAACCAACTGTAGACTTTACTCCGTAAGCCAAGCTTATAGTCATAAGTAAATGAATTGACTTACCTCCTCTTACTACTCCGTTTGTGCAAATAGCGGACATAGAAATACCTGTGAGTGTTGTCACCACCACACTCAGGCCGATGATGATGACTCCGAGACCTGCAAAATCCCCCAAGAAAGGAGTTTGGCTCCAGTAGGTCAAGAGGTCACCAGCAACTTGAGGAGGCAGCAGTCTGCGTCTTGTCACAGAAGGGTCTGCCTCCCCATGAAAAAACCTGAAATGTTCTAAAAGATCCCAGTCCATGAAGGTCTCAGAAGCACCTGAAATGTACTAAACTTTAAAGCTGAAGCCACGTCCAAGAATCATTTCCCCAGAAACACCGGCAAGAGGCTTGCCGACTGGTCTGAAAAAGAAAATATTCATCGGAGGAATGTGAGCACCTGGAAACTATGAGTTGCAGGTGGGCCCTCGAGGTCCATTAGAGGCGAACCCTCTGGTGCGGACCAGGACTGAGCTCACGGTACCTTAGGTTTCCTTCTGCATCCGGCGTCAAGAACAGTGGGCTCCTTGCTTGCTCCAGTCAAAAAGAAATATATAAAAACTTTTCCTACCCGTGGCAAGCGATGAGGACATTAGGTATCTTAGAAATGTTACCTCCACGAACAAACCCGTTAGTCGCTATTGCAGAAGTTGACAACCCGGTAATAGAAGTTACCATGGTGGAAAGAAGAATTATGAGAACTCCAAGACCTGTTAGCAATGAAAGAGAAAAGACAGTACATTTTACTTTCCTTACTTGGGTTCCCTATTGCTGCAAACTACACTGCCTCTGATGTAAGTTTTCACATCCACGCCTTGGGCCCCAGTGGAGTTGCTTTCTACTCGGGAGAAACAGGCTTGCCTGGCATGAAGATCAAGTCCGAGGCCTGCTCATTATGATGAAGGATGGCTTCCAAAAGTAAACACAATCTAAAAGGTGCCCTGGAAAGGAAAAGTTGACTTATGCTGGTGTCCTGGGAGAGAAACTACCCCGGCTGCGAAAAGAGAAAACATGACATTTGACTTTCTCTATTGCTTGAGAGGAACCTGCATGAGAGAGTTGGGGGTTTGAGAAAGGTTAAATCCTTCCCCATTTTTCTTGCATCTGTCTTGCCTGGAGGAGGAAAAAAAGGAACCAACTTAGATTACCTTTGAAAACACTCCAGAAAGGTCAGTGGTGAACTATCTGAGCCTGTGTTGCCTTTACCTTACAAATGATCATGCAGGTCACAAGTCTAATTACCTCCTCTGACATATCCATTTGTGGCAATAGCAGAGGTGGATAAACCAGTGATACCAGTCACTGTCACAGCTAAGCCGATGATAATCACACCAAGACCTCAGTTGAGAGAGGAAAAATAAAGGCAATTAAACAGTGGAACAATCCGTTAGATCGTTTACATAAAAGCCAGCAAGTCTAGAGTAATCACCAAAGGACCACATTGAAATTAACAAGTTGGCTGGAAATCACCAGAGTAAATGCTCAGCTTTGAAGTTTTCTGCCTGTAGCAGCACAGATCCTAGAAACTGAAGAGCTAAGATGTGCAGTAAAAATTGCCCACAATTGAACAACGATGGCTGGTCAAAATTTGACAGAACCCCATTTTTTATGCTGTTCTAGATACCTACAAACATAACAATTGGTCCATCCAATTCCAAGCTGCTCATATAACTGAAGAGTAAATGTTCATCCTTCCAGGCGACTCTCTTTTCATGTCCATTTGGTTGTGTGGGAGTGGAAAATTACCTACACTATAACAAGTTGTTCATCTGGCAGATAAGTAAAGTGGAAAGAATCAAATGGAACTATATTCATTTATTGGCTACGCCACCTCTGGCAAGTTACTTATTTTCTGAGCCAAACATGGCAATAGAATTAGAAAGGAGACATGTGTAAAGTGGCCAACACACTGAGTGGCCCTGCTTTTTTGGCCCGTGTCCACAATAGTTACAATAGCTATTGTTTATTGAAAGTCTACTATACATCCAGCCAGGTGTCAGGTAGCAAGAGAAATGCAAGGAACAAATAAAATGAAATGAAAAAAGCTGCCCTCAAGCAACTTACAGCACAGAAGAAGGCCAATGATTCTAGGAGAGAGAAAGTGATAAACCGGGATTCAGAGAAAGGCACGGCTACTTTCAGTTTCAGGAAGGACACAGTCAGGATGATACTGAAGGGTAGCAGAATCTGCCACCCTGAAATGTACCCCTTTAGGAGAAAAATTCGTTTGAGCTAAAGGCAAAAGGAAAAAACCAGATACTTCCCCCTATTTGCCTAAAAGCAAGATGTAAGTTTGTAAAGTGGCTCCACTTTCCTCTACAGCAGGAAGGACTGAAGTTAACCATCAGAGCCAATTCTAGACCCTTATCAGCTGGAGGAGCACGAGAGGAACCTGCATAACGAACTCTCCTGATTTTCCAGTAGTCCCCACATGCGTCTGCCTTCCCACAATCTGCCACCCTAGAAACTCAGTCCTTTCCCTTTGTCTTGTGACTTCTCTAAGAAAATCTTGTTCTCTTGTTAAAATGCTATGTAAGCCCGCTCCTTTGAATTACTCATTGCTGAGTCTTGTGTGTGTACACACAATGTGGAACTTAATAAACTTGTGAATGTTTTTCTCTTGTTAGGCTGTCTTTTGCCAGTGTTGCAGAACGAAGTTTGGGGACACAGGCACTGAAATCCCCCTGGATCTAGCCAGAATGCCATCCCCTGGGTCCGTTTGGCATGCTCCGTAATTGTTGGTGGCAGACTCTCTTGTTCCCTTTTAGATGAGAGGCCGTGATCTCTCTGGCCATGAGAAGGGGAAGTGGAGGAGAGGAAAGACAGAAATGGAAACAGGGCACTGGAGCCTGCCTCTTTTGAAGCTCCCAGCTATATCTTGGCTCCAAAAGAAGTCTCGAGGCTATTTCACAGTTTGAAGTGCAGTAGGAAGAGGCAAACTATAAGCCTGAGATGTAAACTTGGACCATATTGCTTCGGACCCTACAGACAAAGTTTGGCGTTGTAAGAAAGAGTTGCACTAAATTCTTCGAATCTGTTGCAAGGGATCATCTCTACATCACCATGTGGGCTCAGTTCTTTGTACCCCTACAGATAATTTCCTCTTATCTTTTGCACAGTATTTTGCTTCTGATTTTGTTTTATGACTTTTGATGTCAAATGTTTAGCTGACCCCAGCAACTTTGCAGAACTATATAGTTTGCATTTCAGGACATTAAACCTACTCTGATTACTTCCTTACCTTATTTTCCCTTTGCTTCTATTTTACTAACAATTCTTATTTATTCTCTTACATTGTATATATTTCTGTAAAACATTTGAAATCCCAGAACAAACCTTTATACATTTAAACGGCAAGAGATTTACTTTTCTCTCACAATCAAACATAAAATCCCAGGGTAAGAGGCAACTTCTGGAACATTCAGTTTATAATTTTCTCCAAGAGAGTTGAACCATCTGCTTCAGGAAAGACCTGAAGTGTTTATTAAAAATGCCCAGACCCACAGGGTGCCTGGGTGGCTCAATCCATTAAGCATCTGCCTTCAGGTCAGGTGGTATCGAGCCCCACATTGGGCTCACCCTGGAATCTACTTTTCCCTCTGCCTCTGCCTGCTGCTCCCCCTGCTTGTGCTCTCTCTCTTTCAAATAAATATATAAAATCTAAAAAAAAAAAAAAAAAAAGGTGCCTAGACCCACTGAGTTTGAATCTTTCAAAGTGAATCCCAGGATTCTGTGGTTTTGTAACCCAGCTTTCCAGGTCATTCTTAGGCACCCCACAGTCTGGAGACTACTGCACTACCCCAGCCTATCTCAATTTGTGTTGCTTAGACAGCAAGTTTCTTTGGCTTTATCTTCAAAGAATTGATTGGCAAATAATTAATCCAGCTCCTTCATTTTGAGATGAGAAAATGAAACTCATGGAGTATAAATGACTTGCTTCAGGTCATACCTGTTTCATACCTTTCTTCCATGCCTGATGTTTATTAGAAACTATCTTGCCCCAGCCAAAGTCTCTGAGACAGAGAAGAACAATTCAATGGCATTAATGGCTTATTCTACTATTGGCTTTTGGGGAAGAGAGAGCCCAAACTCATGGCCTTGGAGCAGCTACCCAAGGGCTGTAGCTACTGTGACTCGTGGCTCCAGCTTCCTTCTGGCTTTGTTCCCAGGATCTCCTCTAGAAAGTGTATTCAGTCTTTTTCCCCAGACTATCCCCACAACATGGAGAAACTACTTGGATTTGCTTCTTTTCTTACCCAATAAAAGGACTCCACATGGGACCCAGAAGATGACTTAATCAACTCATTTAGCTTTAAGTTCACAGCAAAGGCCAGTAAAGCTGAGTAAGGGTGGTAATAAATTTCTACAACTCACTAAAGTCTACTTTCTGAGAACTTAAACAATGACAAACAAACCTTCATTCAAAGGAAACCCGCTAGACACCCACTTAAAGTAGGATATGACTACTTAAAGAAAAAGTCCTTATTAAAACAATGCTGATATCTGAAAGTAGAATACAGTTTAGCAGAAGATGGGGTTCTCCATATTTTACAATTTTATAATAAGCATGAAACTGAGAAGACTAATGTAAAATCTGATTAAAGTTCAGATTATGGCCCAAACTCGTGGATGTTAAATAAGTTGCATTAGAAAGAATTACTTTTGCCCTTGGCTACGCTCACACCTCCAAACAAAGTAATGTTGCTTGATGATCTCAATAAGTTACTAAACTGCCCTTAAAAAACTAATTTTGCATGAAGCCCTGGAGCGAACACTTGGCAATGCTAAGATGCAGATTTTCCATGGAACAGCATACACTTACTTTGGGCCCTGTGGCTGTAAGCATTCATTTGATATGCATCATAAAGCTGGCAAGCAGCCCTTTGTCAGGAACCCAGCAGTTGCCAAACATGAAACGTGGAAACGCTATGGGAACTGGTTCCAGTGTTTCAATTTACAGCTCACCCCTTTCTTGTTGCGAGTTAGTCTGCCGGTGATGCTCAATATGTTTTGAGGCGCAAAGGCAATAAATAAGGACCAAGTACCTTTGAATGTGAATTGAGGTTCATTCTGGAGCAGTTATCTAAAAGCGCATTTGAACCTCTACGGTCTTGATACTCATGATTTATAGGTGTTCTCCAAAAGGGATCTATAATGTATTTCCCAAAATATAGAGGAGAACATCATTAATTTTTATCACATTGAATCAGGAACTTTGATAAAACTCAAACAAATTTTTCATATAAATTTTACCAGTATATTCTAGATTAAAAAAAATGTTTGCCACAGGAAATGATATTTTAAATAAAAGACCATCTTTAAAAACATCAAATAATGGTGTGGAAAGTTGTCAGCATTTGGTGTCAGAAGTGAAGTGTTCTCTGAGTATAGAATAAAACAAACATAGGTGTTTTTCCTTTTAGTAACACAGTGTTTGGCAATAATAGGCACTCAATTGATGTCAAAGGGATGGTGAATTATACATTAAAAATATTTAAAAAATCAAATAATCACTCGAAATAATTTCAACATCATGCATTCTCCATTAGAAAAATTAGTAATAGTTATATATGTTATCTTAATCATTTTATCTATTATTTTTAAGCCTCTATCTGGCAATATTTTATTAACCTTTGTTTTCTTACCACAGGTTACTGAAAGTAACACAGTTATTTTCTTTGGAAAATGTTCAACTAATTCAGCATTAACCTGGTCACATTGTTACCACTTTTCCCACAAGCTGTTTTCGTTGAGTGAAATGTTGCCAGTAATCATAAGGGAGATACACAAATGTCAGTATGTCCCCAAATATGAATAGTACTATTTCAAATGTATGTGTCTCTCTGTATCTGTACACCTAAAACTCGAGGGAAAGGTAGAAATATTTGCCTGAGCATTTATCTGGCTAGCGAGCTGGAAAATTCCAGTCTCCCAGAAGTTAACGCTTCACCTTTCCTCTCTGACAAACATCGTCAAAGAGGCAAAGGGAAAGAGCTGGAGCGCAGATTATTTCTGTGACCTTCATCTCACATTCAGAGTTAATGGTCAAAACAAGTTGCGAATGGAGTTTATCACTGACACTGAAAACTATACGCGGGGCATGGGGAAACATGCTTACCAATTCCAGCTTCTCCAACGATCCAGGAGAGGCGAATGAAGAGCATCACACCCCAGATGTTCAGCATGCATCTTACCTGTGGATTGATGGAGCATCAAAAGGGATGTGAGACATGAGAGTGGGGCAAAACCCAGCCCTCTCCATAATTCTGGTGTCCAGGCTTTGCTAACCCTGAATCCCCAAGGACACTGAACAAACAGATTTTATTTGGAAACATAGGAGCTTTCTCACCAGCACACCTTTCACCCATCCGAACTTCACAGCACCGGCTTTATCCTCCCCTTCCTTGTTTTCGGCTTCTTCATCTCCAGGCATCCCATCCCCGTTAGCAACCCTGTCGGCGGAACCTGGCGCCACTGCGACATTCTGTGTTTTTACAGGTAGCAAAAGCATAATATTTGGTTACAGGGACCCATAAAACTTTCAAAGGCAAATCAGGACAACTGACACAACATTTTAGACATGCACAAAAAAAGAAACATATTCTAGCATTTGAATAAAATAATAATAATATATATATATATATTTTTTTTTTGCCCTGGGAGCTGATGGGTTTGTTTTGTGAGTGATTTCAAGCACAGCAAGACTGCATGGGTGGTAAAGGAGCTTGGGCAGTTCTACTGGTGAAAATATTACCTTAAAAAACCAGTTAGATTTGGGTACATTTAGAATACAAAAAGAACAAAGGAGAAAAAAAGAAACTCAAGGCAGGGTGCAAAGCCTATCGAAGTGAATGAGGGTCTTTGAGGCATGGTAGGAAGTTAATGTCATTGATGCAGACACTCTGGACTTCTTTCCATTAACCTCCCTGGGCTTCACTTTATTCACTTAAAATAATGATAATAAAACTTCTCTAATCATCATCTTTAAGAAGATTGAATGAAAGAACACACAAAGCGTTTTTTTAAAAACAAGAAGAAAAGGGTTACAGATCTAAAGAGATTTAAAGATGCTGTCTGGTGACAAGAATGCTATTCCTGTAGAGGAAGTTTCTTTTAGATTCGATATGTCTTTGCCTGAAAATTGCTGGATGTGCTAGTAGTCTTGTACAAAGGGTAAGAAGTCTCATGACTGACTGACTACTAAAAAGGTAGGTTGAGTAGAAATAAGGAGGAAGTTGTATAAAAAATGTCAAAAGCTTATTTAGTGTTTTTTTGTGACCTGATTTGGAAGACATTCCTTGTCAGTAGGATGATCTGAATTTAATGGGAGAAGAAAATAGCCCTGTTTCTCTCAAGTAAAGAACAAATCTAATTTCTCTTTTAGATATGACTTTGAATACTTTCAGATGCAGCCACTTAATTTAGCCTATCTGGCACCTACCTGACTCTGGCACCTGAGTTACCCACTGAGTTCTTCAAAACAATCTTATCCAGTAAGGGGTGGAAACCACTGGGGATGTCTTTTAAGATTCAGCACTTAATTACCATTATTAAAGAGCAAGTTTATTCTATTTAAGTGCTCTAAATTAGTTTAAAGCTGGGACGACGTGATCCCACATTACTAGTTAAGGAGTCTCAGACAAGGACGATTGTTTCCCCTCTAAAATGGGACTAGTGTGAAATAAATATTCAGTATTTATTATAAGGACTTCATTTGAAAGTGATCAAAATTCTTGTCCTTACTATGCTCAAAGTTTATTGCTTCTTTGGGCTTTGATGTATCATTAACATACCCACTGTAAGCTGACTTTAATTTGGTCTATTTGCTCCAAGTGACTGACTTCTTGTCTCCATGTTCTTCTACTGCTCTATGTAAATAAGGATTTCCTCCAACTTTGTTTTCCCACAAGATTTTTTTCATACTAGTACGACACTTGGGTAACCAGAGCAATTCAGTTTGGTAAGTCATGGTATATATATATATATATATATATATATATATATATATATATATTTAGAGATTTTATTTATTTATTTGTGAGAGAGAGAGAGAGAGAGAGGAAGGAAGAGAGCGCACAAGCTGGAGGAACAACAGGCAGAGGGAGAAGCAGGCTTCCCGCTGAGCAGGGAGCCTGATGTGGGACTCGATCCCAGGACCTTGGGATCATGACCTGAGCCGAAGGCAGATGCTTAACCATCTGAGCCACCCAGGCGCCCCAGTAAGTCACGGTATATTAACTGGAGGATGTGGGCTACTCCCCCTCAACGCTTGCCAAGAGCCAACCATAAAGCAGGTCCTCAAAAAAGAGTATTGAATCCATGAAGTGGATTGGAAGACCACCTGATCTCTACCATTTAAGAACAGATGACCTCGTTTCTTACTCATTTTTGCCTCCTATTTCTTTTCTCTTCTCTCCCTATTGGGTACTTTGTTTCTCATGGTTTCCTCTGTGTAACCCACATTTGCAAAAGGGAAGGGAAGAGAATGAATCTCAAGGCCGATCATCTTACTGGTTTTCCTGAAGAACTGGGAGTGAAATCCAGTGAAATGAATAGTTAAAATTTAGTCTTGAATTCCCTGAGGAATATCTTAATTTTAAGCATCCCCAGTCCCTATTTGCACAGAAAATTGAAAACTGACATCATATGGTCACATCAGAGTAAGATACGCATAAAAAAAGTGCACAGAGATCGAGGCTGAACGAGCAAGGAAGAAACTGATTATCTATACCAGCTAGAGATGCAAGTCACGTGTGTAATTCAAAAATTTCCAGTAGCTCCTTCTAAAAAAGTAAAGGGAAATTAAAAAAATAACTTGGGTTCAGATTTGGACCCTCAAGGTTTAAAAATATACTTAACTTTTGAACAAAATATTCTTAATGTTTGCAATTAATTCATTAGCTATAGGGGCATCCCACCTTGGAGGAGGAACCTGAAAAAGGACTGTCTTAATAATATATTTAATAATATATTTTACTTAATAGACTTCTATAAAACATTATCATTTCAACATGAAAGCAATAAAAAAATTAATGAGACATTTTACATTGTTTTTCACACTACGCCTTTGAAGTCTGGTCTGTAGTTTACACTGATAGCACATCTCAATTTGTACTAGCCATAGTTCAAGGGCTCAAGGGCAGCAGGTGGCTGGGGCTATCCTATTGGAGCGTACCTGTCTGTACACTGCAGTCTATTACAGATGGATGAAGAATTTGAGGTTTTTCTCCAGGCAATTAAAAATTCTATTTTTTCTCTGAATGGATTCTATACTCACAAGGCAGCTGAGTGATTCATATGTAACTTTCATTTTCCATAACTAGAAAATCAATGAGAGCACAGAATTGAGGAATGTGTTAAGATGCCCATGAAGGTTGAAGAGATTATTTGGTTAAGAAATTCATTTATTTGACTTGGTTTGAGAAAAACTTTTAAGATTGTCAATATTCTAGTTAATCAAGATCTCATGGCCAGACTATCAACAGCTACTCATTCAGGGAGAAGGCAATTTCCTTTTCCTCGGTTAATTGTGATGCCATGAGACAGAGCCCCTAGCCACTTGCTTTTTAAAGGCAATCTTGGGAATAAAACCTATGTTTTCTGAGTAAACCTAAACATGAGGGTTTGGTCCAGGAAATTGCTTTGTTCCTGGCTGAACTCCGGAGTTAACTGTGACCCTTACATCTGGATTAATGGGAACACCAATGATTGTTTAAAAAAAAAAACAAACTTACAAAATAGGCTAAAGGATGAATAAGATATTTAAAATTTCTCCTTAAATAGACATTTCTATCTGGCAGATGCCCTTCTGAGCACAGTTTAATAGTTCTTCAATTTGTCACTAGGACATCACAATATGGAGCAAAAGGACTATTCTATGAGGGCACATCAGGGAACTCATCATATATGGAAGTTAGTAAGGCCATAATTTTTAAAAACTTCAAAAATAGAGCCAATGTAGGATATTCCACTCTTTCTTAGGTGAATATTTTCAATCTCCTAGAGTTTCAAAGTTTTTAATATATTTATTCCATAGAGGGGGAAAACCTTTAAATGTATATTTCTTCTCTTGACTATAAAGGACTGTAGTGAATTTTTAAGTACAGAATCCATTTCCATTGCTTACTCTCTTACAGGAGCTGAAAAATCACTGCACCATATAATCTAGGAGACTGGGAATCTGGTTTCAGCTATGCAATTAATTCAGGGTGTGTCCTCCAGCAAGTTACTTAACCTTTCCTGGATACTGCCAAGGAGAATAAATCCAATGGGTTTTCTGAAAATCTTGCTTTGAAGTAATTTACTCTAAGGCAAAATCATTTTTCTGTGTTTGTCATCTTCTCTTCTAACATGGCAAAGCAAAACTTGGTTTCACTCTTTAATAAATGTCTCCTTTGTAAACCCATACAGCAATTATAAAGTCAACTTATCATCAAAGTACTGAAAAGACTGGGTCGAGGGTTTGTGGGCACTTGATGGCTGTGAGCTATAACCAGTGGCTGGCAAGCTTCTGGCTGGTGCATGTTCTTGAGACGAAAGTCTCAAAGACTAAAAGTTTTATGATTGCTGCCTGAAACCAGTTTTTCCCTCATACTTTGGATTAATTTGTTTGTTCACACTCCATTACCATAAATGATGACCCACCACCTTTCGTAAATGCATTTTAAATTGCATAGCTTTAGGGAGTGATTATTTATTTATCGAAAGTTTTACCTGGGCATTAAGTATTAGAGAAGGTAAAAGGAGATGCATTAGGAAGAAAGAAAGAAGGAAAGAGAGAAAAGAGAAAGAAAGAGAAAAATAAATAAATAAATAAATATGGGCCATTTCTCCCCTCCAATACTGATAAACTAGTGAAGTTTCAATCACATAAAATCTTTTACTTAATATAAAATGTGTGAGTTTTCAGACCTCAGATAAATGACAAATACCTTTCTAGCTATCATTGAAAAAGAAAGAAATAAGTATATTTATTCTTTAAATTCTAACTAGATAATATTTGCTACTATGCATGTTTTTAGGTTTCACCTTTTAATCTCAGGACGGTAGAAATCTTATCCCATCATTGAGAAATAGCTCCATAGATGTTTAGGACTACATGATTCCCTCCCAATTGTTTTAAATTTTCTTTTATTATTGAAATATTTAAATATTTCATGCAGTAGTGGAGAGAATAAATAGATCTCATGTGCCTATCACTCAACTTCAACAATTACCAACATATGGCCAATATTATTCTATTTAAACTTCTTACAACCCTGGGATTTTTTTAAAACCAATCCCAATAAGGATCAGATAATTCCTAAGGTTCATTTCAGAATGAAAAGCACAAGTCTAATCACACGTCTGTATCTTATTGATCAATGTTATTATGGTTGTACATTACTAGCCCTTTATGATAAAGGGGAGTATTTTAAATTTTGAAAATGAGGAGTTTTTTTTCTTGTTTTAACAGTTACTATACACCATGCCTCTCAATTACTA